TCTTGTAAGGCAGTCCGTCTTGGAAAGCCAGTCCGTCTTGGAAAGCAGTCCGTCTGGTAAGGCAGTCCGTCTTGGTAAGGCAGTCCGTCTTGGTAAGGCAGTCCGTCTTGGTAAGGCAGTCCGTCTTGGTAAGGCAGTCCGTCTTGGTAAGGCAGTCCGTCTTGGTAAGGCAGTCCGTCTTGGTAAGGCAGTCCGTCTTGGTAAGGCAGTCCGTCTTGGTAAGGCAGTCCGTCTTGGTAAGGCAGTCCGTCTTGGAAAGGCAGTCCGTCTTGGTAAGGCAGTCCGTCTTGGTAAGGCCGTCCGTCTTGGAAAGGCAGTCCGTCTTGGTAAGGCAGTCCGTCTTGGAAAGGCAGTCCGTCTTGGTAAGGCAGTCCGTCCTGGAAAGGCAGTCCGTCTTGGAAAGCCAGTCCGTCTTGGAAAGGCCGTCAGTCTTGGTAAGGCAGTCCGTCTTGGTAAGGCAGTCCGTCTTGGTAAGGCAGTCCGTCTTGGTAAGGCAGTCCGTCTTGGTAAGGCAGTCCGTCTTGGTAAAGGCAGTCCGTCTTGGTAAGGCAGTCCGTCCTGGAAAGTCTCCGTCTTGGAAAGCCATGTCCGTCTTGGAAAGCCAGTCAGTCTTGGTAAGGCAGTCCGTCTTGGTAAGGCAGTCCGTCTTGGTAAGGCAGTCCGTCTTGGTAAGGCAGTCCGTCTTGGTAAGGCAGTCCGTCTTGTAAGGCAGTCCGTCTTGGTAAGGCAGTCCCGTCTTGGTAAGGCAGTCCGTCTTGGTAAGGCAGTCCGTCTTGGTAAGGCAGTCCGTCTTGGAAAGGCAGTTCGTCTTGGTAAGGCAGTCCGTCTTGTAGGGAATCCGTCTTGGTAAGGCAGTCCGTCTTGGTAAGGCAGTCCGTCTTGATAAGGCAGTCCGTCTTGGTAAGGCAGTCCGTCTTGCTTATGGCAGTCCGTCTTGGTAAGGCAGTCCGTCTTGTAAGGCAGTCCGTCTTGGTAAGGCAGTCCGTCTTGGTAAGGCAGTCCGTCTTCGGTAGGCAGTCCGTCTTGGTAAGGCAGTCCGTCTTGGTAAGGCATTCCGTCTTGGTAAGGCATTCCGTCTTGGTAAGGCAGTCCGTCTTGGTAAGGCAGTCCGTCCTGGAAAGGCAGTCCGTCTTGGAAAGCCAGTCCGTCTTGGAAAGCTAGTCAGTCTTGGTAAGGCAGTCCGTCTTGGTAAGGCAGTCCGTCTTGGTAAGGCAGTCCGTCTTGGTAAGGCAGTCCGTCTTGGTAAGGCAGTCCGTCTTGAAAGGCAGTCCGTCTTGGTAAGGCAGTCCGTCTTGGTAAAGGCAGTCGTCTTGGAAGGCAGTCCGTCTTGGTAAGGCAGTCCGTCTTGGTAAGGCAGTCCGTCTTGGTAAGGCAGTCCGTCCTGGAAGGCAAGTCCGTCTTGGTAAGCCAGTCCGTCTTGGAAGCCAGTCCAGTCTTGGTAAGGCAGTCCGTCTGGTAAGGCAGTCCGTCTTGGTAAGGCAGTCCGTCTTGGTAAGGCAGTCCGTCTTGGTAAGGCAGTCCGTCTTGGTAAGGCAGTCCGTCTTGGTAAGGCAGTCCGTCTTGGTAAGGCAGTCCGTCTTGGTAAGGCAGTCCGTCTTGGTAAGGCAGTCCGTCTTGGTAGGCAGTCCGTCTTGATAAGGCAGTCCGTCTTGGAAGGCAGTTCGTCTTGGTAAGGCAGTCCGTCTTGGTAGGGAAGTCCGTCTTGGTAAGGCAGTCCGTCTTGGTAAGGCAGTCCGTCTTGATAAGGCAATCCCTCTTGGTAAGGCAGTCCGTCTTGCTATGGCAGTCCGTCTTGCTAAGGCAGTCGGTCTTGGTAAGGCAGTCCGACTTGGAAAGGCAGTCCGTCTTGGTAAGGCAGTCCGTCTCGGTAAGGCAGTCCGTCTTGGTAAGGCAGTCCGTCTTGGTAAGGCATTCCGTCTTGGTAAGGCAGTCCGTCTTGGTAAGGCAGTCCGTCTTGGTAAGGCAGTCCGTCCTGGAAAGGCAGTCCGTCTTGGAAAGCCAGTCCGTCTTGGAAAGCCAGTCAGTCTTGGTAAGGCAGTCCGTCTTGGTAAGGCAGTCCGTCTTGGTAAGGCAGTCCGTCTTGGTAAGGCAGTCCGTCTTGGTAAGGCAGTCCGTCTTGGAAAGGCAGTCCGTCTTGGCAAGGCAGTCCGTCTTGGAAAGGCAGTCCGTCTTGGAAAGGCAGTCCGTCTTGGTAAGGCAGTCCGTCTTGGAAAGGCAGTCCGTCTTGGTAAGGCAGTCCGTCCTGGAAAGGCAGTCCGTCTTGGAAAGCCAGTCCGTCTTGGAAAGCCAGTCAGTCTTGGTAAGGCAGTCCGTCTTGGTAAGGCAGTCCGTCTTGGTAAGGCAGTCCGTCTTGGTAAGGCAGTCCGTCTTGGTAAGGCAGTCCGTCTTGGTAAGGCAGTCCGTCTTGGTAAGGCAGTCCGTCTTGGTAGGCCAGTCCGTCTTGGAAAGCCAGTCCATCTTGGTAAGGCAGTCCGTCTTGGTAAGGCAGTCCGTCTTGGTAGGGAAGTCCGTCTTGGTAAGGCAGTCCGTCTTGGAAGGCAGTCCGTCTTGGTAAGGCAGTCCGTCCTGGAAGGCAGTCCGTCTTGGAAAGCAGTCCGTCTTGGAAAGCCAGTCAGTCTTGTAGGCAGTCCGTCTTGGTAAGGCAGTCCGTCTTGGTAAGGCAGTCCGTCTTGGTAAGGCAGTCCGTCTTGGTAAGGCAGTCCGTCTTGGTAAGGCAGTCCGTCTTGGTAAGGCAGTCCGTCTTGGTAAGGCAGTCCGTCTTGGTAAGGCAGTCCGTCTTGGTAAGGCAGTCCGTCTTGGAAAGGCAGTCCGTCTTGGTAAGGCAGTCCGTCTTGGAAAGGCAATCCGTCTTGGAAAGGCAGTCCGTCTTGGTAAGGAAGTCCGTCTTGGAAAGGCAGTCCGTCTTGGTAAGGCAATCCGTCTTGGAAAGGCAGTCCGTCTTGGAAAGCCAGTCCGTCTTGGAAAGCCAGTCCATCTTGGTAAGGCAGTCCGTCTTGGTAAGGCAGTCCGTCTTGGTAGGGAAGTCCGTCTTGGTAAGGCAGTCCGTCTTGGTAAGGCAGTCCGTCTTGGTAAGGCAGTCCGTCTTGATAAGGCAGTCCCTCTTGGTAAGGCAGTCCGTCTTGCTAAGGCAGTCCGTCTTGGTAAGGCAGTCCGTCTTGGTAAGGCAGTCCGTCTTGGTAAGGCAGTCCGTCTTGGTAAGGCAGTCCGTCTTGGTAAGGCAGTCCGTCTTGGTAAGGCAGTCCGTCTTGGTAAGGCAGTCCGTCTGGGTAAGGCAGTCCGTCTTGGTAAGGCAGTCCGTCTTGGTAAGGCAAATCGTCTTGGTAAGGCAGTCCGTCTTGGTAGGGAAGTCCGTCTTGGTAAGGCAGTCCGTCTTGGTAAGGCAGTCCGTCTTGGTAAGGCAGTCCGTCTTGGTAAGGCAGTCCGTCTTGGTAAGGCAGTTCGTCTTGGTAAGGCAGTCCGTCTTGGTAGGGAAGTCCGTCTTGGTAAGGCAGTCCGTCTTAGTAAGGCAGTCCGTCTTAGTAAGCCAGTCCGTCTTGGAAAGCCAGTCAGTCTTGGTAAGGCAGTCCGTCTTGGTAAGGCAGTTCGTCTTGGTAAGGCAGTCCGTCTTGGTAAGGCAGTCCGTCTTGGAAAGGCAGTCCGTCTTGGTAAGGCAGTCCGTCTTGGAAAGGCAATCCGTCTTGGAAAGGCAGTCCGTCTTGGTAAGGAAGTCCGTCTTGGAAAGGCAGTCCGTCTTGGTAAGGCAATCCGTCTTGGAAGGCAGTCCGTCTTGGAAAGCCAGTCCGTCTTGGAAAGGCAGTCCATCTTGGTAAGGCAGTCCGTCTTGGTAAGGCAGTCCGTCTTGGTAGGGAAGTCCGTCTTGGTAAGGCAGTCCGTCTTGGTAAGGCAGTCCGTCTTGGTAAGGCAGTCCGTCTTGATAAGGCAGTCCCTCTTGGTAAGGCAGTCCGTCTTGCTAAGGCAGTCCGTCTTGGTAAGGCAGTCCCTCTTGGTAAGGCAGTCCGTCTTGGTAAGGCAGTCTGTCTTGGTAAGGCAGTCCGTCTTGGAAAGGCAGTCCGTCTTGGTAAGGCAGTCCGTCTTGGTAAGGCAGTCCGTCTTGGTAAGGCAGTCCGTCTTGGTAAGGCAGTCCGTCTTGGTAAGGCAGTCCGTCTTGGTAAGGCAGTCCGTCTTGGTAAGGCAGTCCGTCTGGGTAAGGCAGTCCGTCTTGGTAAGGCAGTCCGTCTTGGTAAGGTAGTCCGTCTTGGAAAGGCAGTCCGTCTTGGTAAGGCAATCCGTCTTGGAAAGGCAGTCCGTCTTGGAAAGCCAGTCCGTCTTGGAAAGCCAGTCCGTCTTGGTAAGGCAGTCCGTCTTGGTAAGGCAGTCCGTCTTGGTAGGGAAGTCCGTCTTGGTAAGGCAGTCCGTCTTGGTAAGGCAGTCCGTCTTGGTAAGGCAGTCCCTCTTGGTAAGGCAGTCCGTCTTGCTAAGGCAGTCCGTCTTGGTAAGGCAGCCCCTCTTGGTAAGGCAGTCCGTCTTGGTAAGGCAGTCTGTCTTGGTAAGGCAGTCCGTCTTGGAAAGGCAGTCCGTCTTGGTAAGGCAGTCCGTCTTGGTAAGGCAGTCCGTCTTGGTAAGGCAGTCCGTCTTGGTAAGGCAGTCCGTCTTGGTAAGGCAGTCCGTCTTGGTAAGGCAGTCCGTCTTGGTAAGGCAGTCCGTCTGGTAAGGCAGTCCGTCTTGGTAAGGCAGTCCGTCTTGGTAAGGCAGTTCGTCTTGGTAAGGCAGTCCGTCTTGGTAGGGAAGTCCGTCTTGGTAAGGCAGTCCGTCTTGGTAAGGCAGTCCGTCTTGGTAAGGCAGTCCGTCTTGGTAAGGCAGTCCGTCTGGTAAGGCAGTCCGTCTTGGTAAGGCAGTCCGTCTTGGTAAGGCAGTTCGTCTTGGTAAGGCAGTCCGTCTTGGTAGGGAAGTCCGTCTTGGTAAGGCAGTCCGTCTTAGTAAGGCAGTCCGTCTTAGTAAGGCAGTCCGTCTTGGAAAGCCAGTCAGTCTTGGTAAGGCAGTCCGTCTTGGTAAGGCAGTTCGTCTTGGTAAGGCAGTCCGTCTTGGTAAGGCAGTCCGTCTTGGAAAGGCAGTCCGTCTTGGTAAGGCAGTCCGTCTTGGAAAGGCAATCCGTCTTGGAAAGGCAGTCCGTCTTGGTAAGGAAGTCCGTCTTGGAAAGGCAGTCCGTCTTGGTAAGGCAATCCGTCTTGGAAAGGCAGTCCGTCTTGGAAAGCCAGTCCGTCTTGGAAAGCCAGTCCATCTTGGTAAGGCAGTCCGTCTTGGTAAGGCAGTCCGTCTTGGTAGGGAAGTCCGTCTTGGTAAGGCAGTCCGTCTTGGTAAGGCAGTCCGTCTTGGTAAGGCAGTCCGTCTTGATAAGGCAGTCCTCTTGGTAAGGCAGTCCGTCTTGCTAAGGCAGTCCGTCTTGGTAAGGCAGTCCTCTTGGTAAGGCAGTCCGTCTTGGTAAGGCAGTCTGTCTTGGTAAGGCAGTCCGTCTTGGAAAGGCAGTCCGTCTTGGTAAGGCAGTCCGTCTTGGTAAGGCAGTCCGTCTTGGTAAGGCAGTCCGTCTTGGTAAGGCAGTCCGTCTTGGTAAGGCAGTCCGTCTTGGTAAGGCAGTCCGTCTTGGTAAGGCAGTCCGTCTGGGTAAGGCAGTCCGTCTTGGTAAGGCAGTCCGTCTTGGTAAGGTAGTCCGTCTTGGTAAGGCAGTCCGTCTTGGTAAGGCAGTCCGTCTTGGTAAGGCAGTCCGTCTTGGTAAGGCAGTCCGTCTTGGTAAGGCAGTCCGTCTTGGTAAGGCAGTCCGTCTTGGTAAGGCAGTCCGTCTTGGTAAGGCAGTCCGTCTTGGTAAGGCAGTCCGTCTTGGTAAGGCAGTCCGTCTTGGTAAGGCAGTCCGTCTTGGTAAGGCAGTCCGTCTTGGTAAGGCAGTCCGTCTTGGTAAGGCAGTCCGTCTTGGTAAGGCAGTCCGTCTTGGTAAGGCAGTCCGTCTTGGAAAGGCAGTCCGTCTTGGTAAGGCAGTCCGTCTTGGAAAGGCAATCCGTCTTGGAAAGGCAGTCCGTCTTGGTAAGGAAGTCCGTCTTGGAAAGGCAGTCCGTCTTGGTAAGGCAATCCGTCTTGGAAAGGCAGTCCGTCTTGGAAAGCCAGTCCGTCTTGGAAAGCCAGTCCATCTTGGTAAGGCAGTCCGTCTTGGTAAGGCAGTCCGTCTTGGTAGGGAAGTCCGTCTTGGTAAGGCAGTCCGTCTTGGTAAGGCAGTCCGTCTTGGTAAGGCAGTCCGTCTTGATAAGGCAGTCCCTCTTGGTAAGGCAGTCCGTCTTGCTAAGGCAGTCCGTCTTGGTAAGGCAGTCCCTCTTGGTAAGGCAGTCCGTCTTGGTAAGGCAGTCTGTCTTGGTAAGGCAGTCCGTCTTGGAAAGGCAGTCCGTCTTGGTAAGGCAGTCCGTCTTGGTAAGGCAGTCCGTCTTGGTAAGGCAGTCCGTCTTGGTAAGGCAGTCCGTCTTGGTAAGGCAGTCCGTCTTGGTAAGGCAGTCCGTCTTGGTAAGGCAGTCCGTCTGGGTAAGGCAGTCCGTCTTGGTAAGGCAGTCCGTCTTGGTAAGGTAGTCCGTCTTGGTAAGGCAGTCCGTCTTGGTAAGGCAGTCCGTCTTGGTAAGGCAGTCCGTCTTGGTAAGGCAGTCCGTCTTGATAAGGCAGTCCCTCTTGGTAAGGCAGTCCGTCTTGGTAAGGCAGTCCGTCTTGATAAGGCAGTCCGTCTTGGGAAGGCAGTTCGTCTTGGTAAGGCAGTCCGTCTTGGTAGGGAAGTCCGTCTTGGTAAGGCAGTCCGTCTTGGTAAGGCAGTCCGTCTTGGTAAGGCAGTCCCTCTTGGTAAGGCAGTCCGTCTTGCTAAGGCAGTCCGTCTTGCTAAGGCAGTCAGTCTTGGTAAGGCAGTCCGACTTGGAAAGGCAGTCCGTCTTGGTAAGGCAGTCCGTCTTGGTAAGGCAGTCCGTCTTGGTAAGGCAGTCCGTCTTGGTAAGGAAGTCCGTCTTGGTAAGGCATTCCGTCTTGGTAAGGCAGTCCGTCTTGGTAAGGCAGTCCGTCTTGGAAAGGCAGTCCGTCTTGGTAAGGCAGTCCGTCTTGGAAAGGCAGTCCATCTTGGAAAGGCAGTCCGTCTTGGAAAGGCAGTCCGTCTTGGTAAGGCAGTCCGTCTTGGAAAGGCAGTCCGTCTTGGAAAGGCAGTCCGTCTTGGTAAGGCAGTCCGTCTTGGAAAGGCAGTCCGTCTTGGTAAGGCAGTTCGTCCTGGAAAGGCAGTCCGTCTTGGAAAGCCAGTCCGTCTTGGAAAGTCAGTCAGTCTTGGTAAGGCAGTCCGTCTTGGTAAGGCAGTCCGTCTTGGTAAGGCAGTCCGTCTTGGAAAGGCAGTCCGTCTTGGAAAGGCAGTCCGTCTTGGTAAGGCAGTCCGTCTTGGAAAGGCAGTCCGTCTTGGTAAGGCAGTCCGTCTTGGAAAGGCAGTCCGTCTTGGAAAGCCAGTCCGTCTTGGAAAGCCAGTCAGTCTTGGTAAGGCAGTCCGTCTTGGTAAGGCAGTCCGTCTTGGAAAGGCAGTCCGTCTTGGTAAGGCAGTTCGTCTTGGAAAGGCAGTCCGTCTTGGAAAGCCAGTCCGTCTTGGAAAGCCAGTCAGTCTTGGTAAGGCAGTCCGTCTTGGTAAGGCAGTCCGTCTTGGAAAGGCAGTCCGTCTTGGTAGGGAGTCCGTCTTGGTAAGGCAGTCCGTCTTGGTAAGGCAGTCCGTCTTGGTAAGGCAGTCCGTCTTGATAAGGCAGTCCCTCTTGGTAAGGCAGTCCGTCTTGGTAAGGCAGTCCGTCTTGCTAAGGCAGTCCGTCTTGGTAAGGCAGTCCGTCTTGGTAAGACAGTCCGTCTTGGTAAGGCAGTCCGTCTTGGTAAGGCAGTCCGTCTTGGTAAGGCAGTCCGTCTTGGTAAGGCAGTCCGTCTTGGTAAGGCAGTCCGTCTCGGTAAGGCAGTCCGTCTTGGTAAGGCAGTCCGTCTTGGTAAGGCAGTCCGTCTTGGTAAGGCAGTCCGTCTTGGTAAGGCAGTCCGTCTTGGTAAGGCAGTCCGTCTTGGTAAGGCAGTCCGTCTTGATAAGGCAGTCCATCTTGGTAAGGCAGTTCGTCTTGGTAAGGCAGTCCGTCTTGGTAGGGAAGTCCGTCTTGGTAAGGCAGTCCGTCTTGGTAAGGCAGTCCGTCTTGATAAGGCAGTCCCTCTTGGTAAGGCAGTCCGTCTTGGTAAGGCAGTCCGTCTTGCTAAGGCAGTTAGTCTTGGTAAGGCAGTCCGACTTCGAAAGGCAGTCCGTCTTGGTAAGGCAGTCCGTCTTGGTAAGGCAGTCCGTCTCGGTAAGGCAGTCCGTCTTGGTAAGGAAGTCCGTCTTGGTAAGGCATTCCGTCTTGGTAAGGCAGTCCGTCTTGGTAAGGCAGTCCGTCTTGGAATGGCAGTCCGTCTTGGTAAGGCAGTCCGTCTTAATAAGGCAGTCCGTCTTGGTAAGGCAGTCCGTCTTGGGAAGGCAGTTCGTCTTGGTAAGGAAGTCCGTCTTGGAAAGGCAGTCCGTCTTGGAAAGGCAGACCGTCTTGGAAAGGCAGTCCGTCTTGGTAAGGCAGTCCGTCTTGGAAAGGCAGTCCGTCTTGGAAAGGCAGTCCGTCTTGGTAAGGCAGTCCGTCTTGGAAAGGCAGTCCGTCTTGGTAAGGCAATCCGTCTTGGAAAGGCAGTCCGTCTTGGAAAGCCAGTCCGTCTTGGAAAGACAGTCAGTCCTGGTAAGGCAGTCCATCTTGGTAAGGCAGTCCGTCTTGTTGAGTGATGCTACCATTCGCATTCACGTCTGTCTGCCTCCCATCATATGTTCGTGCGTTGCATGCTTGTTGTGAGTGTGTGCAAGAATTTGTGTTTTGTGCGGTTTGGTTTTTCTGAGTGTGTGTGTGAATGTTATTTGGCTTGAGCAGATATCTGAAGTGACTCCTCTGCTCAAGAGCTTTCCGAGGAACCAAGTATCGCTTCAATCGGAGCACGAACTAGAAAGTTACGAACGTTGGAGTTCGTATGCTTTTGATATTTGGTTGTGGTGACTATGGGAAGTTGTGGGGTTGACTCAATATGGGGTACAGACTTTTGGGGGTTGGGAAATTCGTCTTTCTACTGTAGTTGCTGCCAAATGGTTGGGAGAAACCAAACCAGGTGGCAAGTGTGGCCAAGTTGGGTTGAGGTGGATTGTGGAGGTTGGGATAGTGACAAAGGTCAAAGTTGGGTTGCCTATGGGGAAGGGAATTGTATGGCATGGGGTTTCCTTGGTTGGGGACTCTCTTGGGACCTTCCCTCTCGTCCTCCTCATCCCCTCCTACCTGGTTCTATTGCTACTCTAACTTTCTTGTGTGAACTTGTGAGATTATTGTGATTGAGTTACGTTTTCTATGGCAGCATACCCCCTAGTGCGCCGAAGTTCATAACTCGAGTTATACTCCATATTCTGATACTATTCAAATTGGGAAAGATAGCCACGGTCAAGGGCTACAACATACTCGAGTTTGAAAGAATTCTAACAGTGGACCTTTCGTCGACGACGTTTCTTGTGACGACGACTTTTCTGTCCAGAATTGTAGTTGACGATTTTGAGATATTTCAGCCCCTAATCTTCATAGACTCCGTCCTTAATCTATAACACGTCTTGGTAAGGCAGTCCGTCTTGGTAGGGAAGTCCGTCTTGGTAAGGCAGTCCGTCTTGGTAAGGCAGTCCGTCTTGGTAAGGCAGTCCCTCTTGATAAGGCAGTCCCTCTTGGTAAGGCAGTCCGTCTTGGTAAGGCAGTCCGTCTTGGTAAGGCAGTCCGTCTTGGAAAGGCAGTCCGTCTTGGTAAGGCAGTCCGTCTTGGAAAGGCAGTCCGTCTTGGTAAGGCAGTCCGTCTTGGTAAGGCAGTCCGTCTTGGTAAGGCAGTCCGTCTTGGTAAGGCAGTCCGTCTTGGAAAGGCAGTCCGTCTTGGTAAGACAGTCTATCTTGGTAAGGCAGTCCGTCTTGGTAAGGCAGTCCGTCTTGGTAAGGCAGTCCGTCTTGGGAAGGCAGTTCGTCTTGGTAAGGCAGTCCGTCTTGGTAAGGCAGTCCGTCTTGGAAAGGCAGTCCGTCTTGGTAAGGCAGTCCGTCTTGGTAGGGCAGTCCGTCTTGGTAAGGCAGTCCGTCTTGGTAAGGCAGTGCGTCTTGGTAAGGCAGTCCGTCTTGATAAGGCAGTCCCTCTTGGTAAGGCAGTCCGTCTTGGTAAGGCAGTCCGTCTTGCTAAGGCAGTCCGTCTTGGTAAGGCAGTCCGTCTTGGTAAGGCAGTCCGTCTTGGTAAGGCAGTCCGTCTTGATAAGGCAGTCCGTCTTGGTAAGGCAGTTCGTCTTGGTAAGGCAGTCCGTCTTGGTAGGGAAGTCCGTCTTGGTAAGGCAGTCCGTCTTGGTAAGGCAGTCCGTCTTGATAAGGCAGTCCCTCTTGGTAAGGCAGTCCGTCTTGGTAAGGCAGTCCGTCTTGCTAAGGCAGTTAGTCTTGGTAAGGCAGTCCGTCTTGAAAGGCAGTCCGTCTTGGTAAGGCAGTCCGTCTTGGTAAGGCAGTCCGTCTCGGTAAGGCAGTCCGTCTTGGTAAGGAAGTCCGTCTTGGTAAGGCATTCCGTCTTGGTAAGGCAGTCCGTCTTGGTAAGGCAGTCCGACTTGGAAAGGCAGTCCGTCTTGGTAAGGCAGTCCGTCTTAATAAGGCAGTCCGTCTTGGTAAGGCAGTCCGTCTTGGGAAGGCAGTCCGTCTTGGTAAGGCAGTCCGTCTTGGAAAGGCAGTCCGTCTTGGAAAGGCAGTCCGTCTTGGAAAGGCAGTCCGTCTTGGTAAGGCAGTCCGTCTTGGAAAGGCAGTCCGTCTTGGAAAGGCAGTCCGTCTTGGTAAGGCAGTCCGTCTTGGAAAGGCAGTCCGTCTTGGTAAGGCAGTCCGTCTTGGAAAGGCAGTCCGTCTTGGAAAGCCAGTCCGTCTTGGAAAGACAGTCAGTCTTGGTAAGGCAGTCCATCTTGGTAAGGCAGTCCGTCTTGGTAAGGCAGTCCGTCTTGGTAAGGCAGTCCGTCTTGGTAAGGCAGTCCGTCTTGGTAAGGCAGTCCGTCTTGCTAAGGCAGTTAGTCTTGGTAAGGCAGTCCGTCTTGGAAAGGCAGTCCGTCTTGGTAAGGCAGTCCGTCTTGGTAAGGCAGTCCGTCTTGGTAAGGCAGTCCGTCTTGGTAAGGAAGTCCGTCTTGGTAAGGCATTCCGTCTTGGTAAGGCAGTCCGTCTTGGTAAGGCAGTCCGTCTTGGAAAGGCAGTCCGTCTTGGTAAGGCAGTCCGTCTTAATAAGGCAGTCCGTCTTGGTAAGGCAGTCCGTCTTGGGAAGGCAGTTCGTCTTGGTAAGGAAGTCCGTCTTGGAAAGGCAGTCCGTCTTGGAAAGGCAGTCCGTCTTGGAAAGGCAGTCCGTCTTGGTAAGGCAGTCCGTCTTGGAAAGGCAGTCCGTCTTGGAAAGGCAGTCCGTCTTGGTAAGGCAGTCCGTCTTGGAAAGGCAGTCCGTCTTGGTAAGGCAATCCGTCTTGGAAAGGCAGTCCGTCTTGGAAAGCCAGTCCGTCTTGGAAAGACAGTCCGTCTTGGTAAGGCAGTCCGTCTTGGTAAGGCAGTCCGTCTTGGTAAGGCAGTCCGTCTTGGTAGGGCAGTCCGTCTTGGTAAGGCAGTCCGTCTTGGTAAGGCAGTCCGTCTTGGTAAGGCAGTCCGTCTTGGTAAGGCAGTCCGTCTTGGTAAGGCAGTCCGTCTTGGTAAGGCAGTCCGTCTTGCTAAGGCAGTCCGTCTTGGTAAGGCAGTCCGTCTTGGTAAGGCAGTCCGTCTTGGTAAGGCAGTCCGTCTTGGTAAGGCAGTCCGTCTTGGTAAGGCAGTCCGTCTTGGTAAGGCAGTCCGTCTTGGAAAGGCAGTCCGTCTTGGTAAGGCAGTCCGTCTTGGTAAGGCAGTCCGTCTTGGTAAGGCAGTCCGTCTTGGTAAGGCAGTCCGTCTTGATAAGGCAGTCCGTCTTGGTAAGGCAGTCCGTCTTGGTAAGGCAGTCCGTCTTGATAAGGCAGTCCGTCTTGGTAAGGCAGTCCGTCTTGGTAAGGCAGTCCGTCTTGGAAAGGCAGTCCGTCTTGGAAAGGCAGTCCGTCTTGGTAAGGCAGTCCGTCTTGGAAAGGCAGTCCGTCTTGGTAAGGCAGTCCGTCTTGGAAAGGCAGTCCGTCTTGGAAAGCCAGTCCGTCTTGGAAAGACAGTCCGTCTTGGTAAGGCAGTCCGTCTTGGTAAGGCAGTCCGTCTTGGTAAGGCAGTCCGTCTTGGTAGGGAAGTCCGTCTTGGTAAGGCAGTCCGTCTTGGTAAGGCAGTCCGTCTTGGTAAGGCAGTCCGTCTTGGTAAGGCAGTCCGTCTTGGTAAGGCAGTCCGTCTTGGTAAGGCAGTCCGTCTTGGTAAGGCAGTCCGTCTTGGTAAGGCAGTCCGTCTTGGTAAGGCAGTCCGTCTTGGTAAGGCAGTCCGTCTTGGAAAGGCAGTCCGTCTTGGTAAGGCAGTCCGTCTTGGTAAGGCAGTCCGTCTTGGTAAGGCAGTCCGTCTTGGTAAGGCAGTCCGTCTTGATAAGGCAGTCCGTCTTGGTAAGGCAGTCCGTCTTGGTAAGGCAGTCCGTCTTGATAAGGCAGTCCGTCTTGGTAAGGCAGTCCGTCTTGGTAAGGCAGTCCGTCTTGGTAAGGCAGTCCGTCTTGGTAAGGCAGTCCGTCTTGGTAAGGCAGTCCGTCTTGGTAAGGCAGTCCGTCTTGGTAAGGCAGTCCGTCTTGGTAAGGCAGTCCGTCTTGGTAAGGCAGTCCGTCTTGGTAAGGCAGTCCGTCTTGGGAAGGCAGTTCGTCTTGGTAAGGCAGTCCGTCTTGGAAAGGCAGTCCGTCTTGGAAAGGCAGTCCGTCTTGGTAAGGCAGTCCGTCTTGGAAAGGCAGTCCGTCTTGGAAGGCAGTCCGTCTTGGAAAGGCAGTCCGTCTTGGTAAGGCAGTCCGTCTTGATAAGGCAGTTTGTCTTGGTAAGGCAGTCCGTCTTGGTAAGGCAGTCCGTCTTGGAAAGGCAGTCCGTCTTGGTAAGGCAGTCCGTCTTGGTAAGGCAGTCCGTCTTGGTAAGGCAGTCCGTCTTGGTAAGGCAGTCCGTCTTGGAAAGGCAGTCCGTCTTGGAAAAGCAGTCCGTCTTGGAAAAGCAGTCCGTCTTGGAAAAGCAGTCCGTCTTGGTAAGGCAGTCCGTCTTGGTAAGGCAGTCCGTCTTGGAAAGGCAGTCCGTCTTGGTAAAGCAGTCCGTCTTGGTAAGGCAGTCCGTCTTGGTAAGGCAGTCCGTCTTGGTAAGGCAGTCCGTCTTGGAAAGGCAGTCCGTCTTGGTAAGGCAGTCCGTCTTGGTAAGGCAGTCCGTCTTGGTAAGGCAGTCCGTCTTGGAAAGGCAGTCCGTCTTGGTAAGGCAGTCCGTCTTAGAGGAAGTCCGTCTTGGTAAGGCAGTCCGTCTTGGTAAGGCAGTCCGTCTTGGTAAGGCAGTCCGTCTTGGTAAGGCAGTCCGTCTTGGTAAGGCAGTCCGTCTTGGAAAGGCAGTCCGTCTTGGTAAAGCAGTCCGTCTTGGAAAGCAGTCCGTCTTGGAAAGCAGTCCGTCTTGGTAAGGCAGTCCGTCTTGGTAAGGCAGTCCGTCTTGGAAAGGCAGTCCGTCTTGGTAAGCAGTCCGTCTTGTAAGGCAGTCCGTCTTGGTAAGGCAGTCCGTCTTGGTAAGGCAGTCCGTCTTGGAAAGGCAGTCCGTCTTGGAAAGGCAGTCCGTCTTGGAAAGGCAGTCCGTCTTGGAAAGCAGTCCGTCTTGGAAAAGCAGTCCGTCTTAATAAGGCGGTCCGTCTTGGTAAGGCAGTCCGTCTTGGAAAGGCAGTCCGTCTTGGTAAAGCAGTCCGTCTTGGTAAGGCAGTCCGTCTTGGAAAGGCAGTCCGTCTTGGTAAGGCAGTCCGTCTTGGAAAGGCAGTCCGTCTTGGTAAGGCAATCCGTCTTGGAAAGGCAGTCCGTCTTGGAAGCAGTCCGTCTTGAAAGGCAGTCAGTCCTGGTAAGGCAGTCCGTCTTGGTAAGGCAGTCCGTCTTGGTAAGGCAGTCCGTCTTGGTAAGGCAGTCCGTCTTGGTAAGGCAGTCCGTCTTGGTAAGGCAGTCCGTCTTGGTAAGGCAGTCCGTCTTGATAAGGCAGTCCGTCTTGGTAAGGCAGTCCGTCTTGGTAAGGCAGTCCGTCTTGGAAAGGCAGTCCGTCTTGGTAAGGCAGTCCGTCTTGGTAAGGCAGTCCGTCTTGGTAAGGCAGTCCGTCTTGGTAAGGCAGTCCGTCTTGGAAAGGCAGTCCGTCTTGGAAAAGCAGTCCGTCTTGGAAAAGCAGTCCGTCTTGGAAAAGCAGTCCGTCTTGGTAAGGCAGTCCGTCTTGGTAAGGCAGTCCGTCTTGGAAAGGCAGTCCGTCTTGGTAAAGCAGTCCGTCTTAGTAAGGCAGTCCGTCTTGGTAAGGCAGTCCGTCTTGGTAAGGCAGTCCGTCTTGGAAAGGCAGTCCGTCTTGGTAAGGCAGTCCGTATTGGTAAGGCAGTCCGTCTTGGTAAGGCAGTCCGTCTTGGAAAGGCAGTCCGTCTTGGTAAGGCAGTCCGTCTTAGAGGCAGTCCGTCTTGGTAAGGCATTCCGTCTTGGTAAGGCAGTCCGTCTTGGTAAGGCAGTCCGTCTTGGTAAGGCAGTCCGTCTTGGTAAGGCAGTCCGTCTTGGAAAGGCAGTCCGTCTTGGAAAAGCAGTCCGTCTTGGAAAGCAGTCCGTCTTGGAAAGCAGTCCGTCTTGGTAAGGCAGTCCGTCTTGGTAAGGCAGTCCGTCTTGGAAAGGCAGTCCGTCTTGGTAAAGCAGTCCGTCTTAGTAAGGCAGTCCGTCTTGGTAAGGCAGTCCGTCTTGGTAAGGCAGTCCGTCTTGGAAAGGCAGTCCGTCTTGGAAAGGCAGTCCGTCTTGGAAAAGCAGTCCGTCTTGGAAAAGCAGTCCGTCTTGGAAAAGCAGTCCGTCTTAATAAGGCAGTCCGTCTTGGTAAGGCAGTCCGTCTTGGAAGGCAGTCCGTCTTGGTAAGGCAGTCCGTCTTGTAAGGCAGTCCGTCTTGGAAAGGCAGTCCGTCTTGGTAAGGCAGTCCGTCTTGGAAAGGCAGTCCGTCTTGGTAAGGCAATCCGTCTTGGAAAGGCAGTCCGTCTTGGAAAGGCAGTCCGTCTTGGAAAGGCAGTCAGTCTTGGTAAGGCAGTCCGTCTTGGTAAGGCAGTCCGTCTTGGTAAGGCAGTCCGTCTTGGTAAGGCAGTCCGTCTTGGTAAGGCAGTCCGTCTTGGTAAGGCAGTCCGTCTTGGTAAGGCAGTCCCTCTTGATAAGGCAGTCCGTCTTGGTAAGGCAGTCCGTCTTGGTAAGGCAGTCCGTCTTGGTAAGGCAGTCCGTCTTGGTAAGGCAGTCCGTCTTGGTAAGGCAGTCCGTCTTGGTAAGGCAGTCCGTCTTGGTAAGGCAGTCCGTCTTGGTAAGGCAGTCCGTCTTGGTAAGGCAGTCCGTCTTGGTAAGGCAGTCCGTCTTGGTAAGGCAGTCCGTCTTGGAAAGGCAGTCCGTCTTGGTAAGGCAGTCCGTCTTGGTAAGGCAGTCCGTCTTGGTAAGGCAGTCCGTCTTGGTAAGGCAGTCCGTCTTGATAAGGCAGTCCGTCTTGGGAAGGCAGTCCGTCTTGATAAGGCAGTCCGTCTTGGTAAGGTAGTCCGTCTTGGTAAGGCAGTCCGTCTTGCTAAGGCAGTCCGTCTTGGAAAGGCAGTCCGTCTTGGAAAGGCAGTCCGTCTTGGTAAGGCAGTCCGTCTTGGTAAGGCAGTCCGTCTTGGTAAGGCAGTCCGTCTTGGTAAGGCAGTCCGTCTTGGTAAGGAAGTCCGTCTTGGTAAGGCAGTCCGTCTTGGAAAGGCAGTCCGTCTTGGTAAGGCAGTCCGTCTTGGAAAGGCAGTCCGTCTTGGTAAGGCAGTCCGTCTTGGTAAGGCAGTCCGTCTTGGTAAGGCAGTCCGTCTTGGTAAGGCAGTCCGTCTTGGAAAGGCAGTCCGTCTTGGTAAGGCAGTCCGTCTTGGTAAGGCAGTCCGTCTTGGTAAGGCAGTCCGTCTTGGTAAGGCAGTCCGTCTTGGAAGGCAGTCCGTCTTGGTAAGGCAGTCCGTCTTGGTAAGGCAGTCCGTCTTGGAAAGGCAGTCCGTCTTGGTAAGGCAGTCCGTCTTGGTAAGGCAGTCCGTCTTGGGAAGGCAGTCCGTCTTGGTAAGGCAGTCCGTCTTGGTAAGGCAGTCCGTCTTGGTAAGGCAGTCCGTCTTGGTAAGGCAGTCCGTCTTGGTAAGGCAGTCCGTCTTGGTAAGGCAGTCCGTCTTGGTAAGGCAGTCCGTCTTGGTAAGGCAGTCCGTCTTGGAAAGGCAGTCCGTCTTGGAAAGACAGTCCGTCTTGGTAAGGCAGTCCGTCTTGGTAAGGCAGTCCGTCTTGGTAAGGCAGTCCGTCTTGGTAGGCAGTCCGTCTTGGTAAGGCAGTCCGTCTTGGTAAGGCAGTCCGTCTTGGTAAGGCAGTCCGTCTTGATAAGGCAGTCCGTCTTGGTAAGGCAGTCCGTCTTGGTAAGGCAGTCCGTCTTGGTAAGGCAGTCCGTCTTGGTAAGGCAGTCCGTCTTGGTAAGGCAGTCCGTCTTGGTAAGGCAGTCCGTCTTGGTAAGGCAGTCCGTCTTGGTAAGGCAGTCCGTCTTGGAAAAGCAGTCCGTCTTGGAAAAGCAGTCCGTCTTGGTAAGGCAGTCCGTCTTGGTAAGGAGTCCGTCTTGGAAAGGCAGTCCGTCTTGGTAAAGCAGTCCGTCTTGGTAAGGCAGTCCGTCTTGGTAAGGCAGTCCGTCTTGGTAAGGCAGTCCGTCTTGGAAGGCAGTCCGTCTTGGAAAGGCAGTCCGTCTTGGAAAAGCAGTCCGTCTTGGAAAGCAGTCCGTCTTGGAAGCAGTCCGTCTTGGTAAGGCAGTCCGTCTTGGTAAGGCAGTCCGTCTTGGAAAGGCAGTCCGTCTTGGTAAAGCAGTCCGTCTTGGTAAGGCAGTCCGTCTTGGAAAGGCAGTCCGTCTTGGTAAGGCAGTCCGTCTTGGAAAGGCAGTCCGTCTTGGTAAGGCAGTCCGTCTTGGAAAGGCAGTCCGTCTTGGAAAGCAGTCCGTCTTGGAAAGGCAGTCCGTCTTGGTAAGGCAGTCCGTCTTGGTAAGGCAGTCCGTCTTGGTAAGGCAGTCCGTCTTGGTAGGCAGTCCGTCTTGGTAAGGCAGTCCGTCTTGGTAAGGCAGTCCGTCTTGGTAAGGCAGTCCGTCTTGATAAGGCAGTCCGTCTTGGTAAGGCAGTCCGTCTTGGTAAGGCAGTCCGTCTTGGTAAGGCAGTCCGTCTTGGTAAGGCAGTCCGTCTTGGTAAGGCAGTCCGTCTTGGTAAGGCAGTCCGTCTTGGTAAGGCAGTCCGTCTTGGTAAGGCAGTCCGTCTTGGTAAGGCAGTCCGTCTTGGTAAGGCAGTCCGTCTTGGTAAGGCAGTCCGTCTTGGAAAGGCAGTCCGTCTTGGTAAGGCAGTCCGTCTTGGTAAGGCAGTCCGTCTTGGTAAGGCAGTCCGTCTTGGTAAGGCAGTCCGTCTTGATAAGGCAGTCCGTCTTGGGAAGGCAGTCCGTCTTGATAAGGCAGTCCGTCTTGGTAAGGCAGTCCGTCTTGGTAAGGCAGTCCGTCTTGGTAAGGCAGTCCGTCTTGGAAAGGCAGTCCGTCTTGGAAAGGCAGTCCGTCTTGGTAAGGCAGTCCGTCTTGGTAAGGCAGTCCGTCTTGGTAAGGCAGTCCGTCTTGGTAAGGCAGTCCGTCTTGGTAAGGCAGTCCGTCTTGGTAAGGCAGTCCGTCTTGGTAAAGGCAGTCCGTCTTGGTAAGGCAGTCCGTCTTGGAAAGGCAGTCCGTCTTGGTAAGGCAGTCCGTCTTGGTAAGGCAGTCCGTCTTGGTAAGGCAGTCCGTCTTGGAAAGGCAGTCCGTCTTGGTAAGGCAGTCCGTCTTGGTAAGGCAGTCCGTCTTGGTAAGGCAGTCCGTCTTGGTAAGGCAGTCCGTCTTGGTAAGGCAGTCCGTCTTGGTAAGGCAGTCCGTCTTGGTAAGGCAATCCGTCTTGGAAAGGCAGTCCGTCTTGGTAAGGCAGTCCGTCTTGGTAAGGCAGTCCGTCTTGGTAAGGCAGTCCGTCTTGGTAAGGCAGTCCGTCTTGGTAAGGCAGTCCGTCTTGGTAAGGCAGTCCGTCTTGGTAAGGCAGTCCGTCTTGGTAAGGCAGTCCGTCTTGGTAAGGCAGTCCGTCTTGGTAAGGCAGTCCGTCTTGGTAAGGCAGTCCGTCTTGGTAAGGCAGTCCGTCTTGGTAAGGCAGTCCGTCTTGGTAAGGCAGTCCGTCTCGGTAAGGCAGTCCGTCTTGGTAAGGCAGTCCGTCTTGGAAAGCCAGTCCGTCTTGGAAAGGCAGTCAGTCTTGGTAAGGCAGTCCGTCTTGGTAAGGCAGTCCGTCTTGGTAAGGCAGTCCGTCTTGGTAGGGAAGTCCGTCTTGGTAAGGCAGTCCGTCTTGGTAAGGCAGTCCGTCTTGGTAAGGCAGTCCCTCTTGATAAGGCAGTCCGTCTTGGTAAGGCAGTCCGTCTTGGTAAGGCAGTCCGTCTTGCTAAGGCAGTCCGTCTTGGTAAGGCAGTCCGTCTTGGTAAGGCAGTCCGTCTTGGTAAGGCAGTCCGTCTTGATAAGGCAGTCCGTCTTGGTAAGGCAGTCCGTCTTGGTAAGGCAGTCCGTCTTGATAAGGCAGTCCGTCTTGGTAAGGCAGTCCGTCTTGGTAAGGCAGTCCGTCTTGGTAAGGCAGTCCGTCTTGGAAGGCAGTCCGTCTTGGAAAGGCAGTCCGTCTTGGTAAGGCAGTCCGTCTTGGTAAGGCAGTCCGTCTTGGTAAGGCAGTCCGTCTTGGTAAGGCAGTCCGTCTTGGTAAGGCAGTCCGTCTTGGTAAGGCAGTCCGTCTTGGTAAGGCAGTCCGTCTTGGAAAGGCAGTCCGTCTTGGTAAGGCAGTCCGTCTTGGTAAGGCAGTCCCGTCTTGGTAGGGCAGTCCGTCTTGGGTAAGGCAGTCCGTCTGGGAAGGCAGTCCGTCTTTGGTAGGACAAGTCTATCTGAAGGCGTCCGTCTGGTAAAGGCAGTCCGTCTTGGTAAGCAGTCCGATCTTGGGAAGGCAGTTCGTCTTGGTAAGGCAGTCCGTCTTGGTAAGGCAATTCCGTCATTGGAAAGGCAGTCGTCTTGGTAAGGCAATCCGTCTTGGTAAGGCAGTCCGTCTTGGGAAGGCAGTCCGTCTTGGTAAGGCAGTCCGTCTTGGTAAGGCAGTCCGTCTCGGTAAAGGCAGTCCGTCTTGGTAAGGCAGTCCGTCTTGGTAAGGCAGTCCGTCTTGGTAAGGGCAGTCCGTCTTGGTAAGGCAGGCCGTCTTGGTAAGGCAGTCCGTCTTGGTAAGGCAGTCCGTCTTGGTAAGGCAGTCCGTCTTGGTAAGGCAGGTCCGTCTCGGTAAGGCAGTCCGTCTGGTAAGGCAGTCCGTCTTGGAAAGCCAGTCCGTCTTGGAAAGACAGTCAGTCTTGGTAAGGCAGTCCATCTTGGTAAGGCAGTCCGTCTTGGTAAGCAGTCCGTCTTGGTAGGGAAGTCCGTCTGGTAAGGCAGTCCGTCTTGGTAAGGCAGTGCGTCTTGGTAAGGGCAGTCCCTCTTGATAAGGCAGTCCCTCTTGGTAAGGCAGTCCGTCTTGGTAGGCAGTCTGTCTTGGTAGGGAAGTCCGTCTTGGTAAGGCAGTCCGTCTTGGTAAGGCAGTGCGTCTTGTAAGGCAGTCCCTCTTGATAAGGGAGTCCCTCTTGGTAAGGCAGTCCGTCTTGGTAAGGCAGTCCGTCTTGCTAAGGCAGTCCGTCTTGGTAAGGCAGGCCGTCTTGGTAAGGCAGTCCGTCTCGGTAAGCAGTCCGTCTTGATAAGGCAGTCCGTCTTGGTAAGGCAGTCCGTCCTTGGGTAAGGCAGTCCGTCTTGATAAGGCAGTCCCTCTTGGTAAGGCAGTCCGTCTTGGTAAGGCAGTCCGTCTTGCTAAGGCAGTTAGTCTTGGAAAGGCAGTCCGACTTGGAAAGGCAGTCCGTCTTGGTAAGGCAGTCCGTCTTGGTAAGGTAGTCCGTCTTGGTAAGGCAGTCCGTCTTGGTAAGGCAGTCCGTCTTGGTAAGGAAGTCCGTCTTGGTAAGGCAGTCCGTCTTGGAAAGGCAGTCCGTCTTGGTAAGGCAGTCCGTCTTGGAAAGGCAGTCCGTCTTGGTAAGGCAGGTCCGTCTTGGTAAGGCAGTCCGTCTTGGTAAGGCAGGTCCGTCTTGGTAAGGCAGTCCGTCTTGGTAAGGCAATCCGTCTTGGAAAGGCAGTCCGTCTTGGTAAGGCAATCCGTCTTGGTAAGGCAGTCCGTCTTGGGAAGGCAGTCCGTCTTGGTAAGGCAGTCCGTCTTGGTAAGGCAGTCCGTCTCGGTAAGGCAGTCCGTCTCGGTAAGGCAGTCCGTCTTGGTAAGGCAGTCCGTCTTGGTAAGGCAGTCCGTCTTGGTAAGGCAGGCCGTCTTGGTAAGGCAGTCCGTCTTGGTAAGGCAGTCCGTCTTGGTAAGGCAGTCCCGTCTTGGTAAGGCAGTCCGTCTCGGTAAGGCAGTCCGTCTTGGTAAGGCAGTCCGTCTGGAAAGCCCAGTCCGTCTTGGAAAGACAGTCAGTCTTGGTAAGGCAGTCCATCTTGGTAAGGCAGTCCGTCTTGGTAAGGCAGTCTGTCTTGGTAGGGAAGTCCGTCTTGGTAAGGCAGTCCGTCTTGGTAAGGCAGTGCGTCTTAGTAAGGCAGTCCCTCTTGATAAGGGAGTCCCTCTTGGTAAGGCAGTCCGTCTTGGTAAGGCAGTCCGTCTTGCTAAGGCAGTCCGTCTTGGTAAGGCAGGGCGTCTTGGTAAGGCAGTCCGTCTTGGTAAGGCAGTCCGTCTTGATAAGGCAGTCCGTCTTGGTAAGGCAGTCCGTCTTGGTAAGGCAGTCCGTCTTGATAAGGCAGTCCGTCTTGTAAGGCAGTCCGTCTTGTAAGGCAGTCCGTCTTGGTAAGGCAGTCCGTCTTGGATAAGGCAGTCCGTCTTGGTAAAGGCAGTCCGTCTTGGTAAGGCAGTCCGTCTTGGTAAGGCAGTCGTCTTGGTAAGGCAGTCCGTCTTGGTAAGGCAGTCCGTCTTGGTAAGGCAGTCCGTCTTGGTAAGGCAGTCCGTCTTGGAAAGGCAGTCCGTCTTGGTAAGGCAGTCCGTCTTGGTAAGGCAGTCCGTCTTGGTAAGGCAGTCCGTCTTGGTAAGGCAGTCCGTCTTGGTAAGGCAGTCCGTCTTGGTAAGCAGTCCGTCTTGGTAAGGCAGTCCGTTCTTGGTAAGGCAGTCCGTCTTGGTAAGGCAGTCCGTCTTGGTAAGGGCAGAAGGCAGTTCGTCTTGGTAAGGCAGTCCGTCTTGGTAAGGCAATCCGTCTTGGAAAGGCAGTCCGTCTTGGTAAGGCAATCCGTCTTGGTAAGGCAGTCCGTCTTGGGAAGGCAGTCCGTCTTGGTAAGGCAGTCCGTCTTGGTAAGGCAGTCCGTCTCGGTAAGGCAGTCCGTCTTGGTAAGGCAGTCCGTCTTGGTAAGGCAGTCCGTCTTGGTAAGGCAGTCCGTCTTGGTAAGGCAGGCCGTCTTGGTAAGGCAGTCCGTCTTGGTAAGGCAGTCCGTCTTGGTAAGGCAGTCCGTCTTGGTAAGGCAGTCCGTCTCGGTAAGGCAGTCCGTCTTGGTAAGGCAGTCCGTCTTGGAAAGCCAGTCCGTCTTGGAAAGACAGTCAGTCTTGGTAAGGCAGTCCATCTTGGTAAGGCAGTCCGTCTTGGTAAGGCAGTCCGTCTTGGTAGGGAAGTCCGTCTTGGTAAGGCAGTCCGTCTTGGTAAGGCAGTGCGTCTTGGTAAGGCAGTCCCTCTTGATAAGGCAGTCCCTCTTGGTAAGGCAGTCCGTCTTGGTAAGGCAGTCTGTCTTGGTAGGGAAGTCCGTCTTGGTAAGGCAGTCCGTCTTGGTAAGGCAGTGCGTCTTGGTAAGGCAGTCCCTCTTGATAAGGGAGTCCCTCTTGGTAAGGCAGTCCGTCTTGGTAAGGCAGTCCGTCTTGCTAAGGCAGTCCGTCTTGGTAAGGCAGGCCGTCTTGGTAAGGCAGTCCGTCTTGGTAAGGCAGTCCGTCTTGATAAGGCAGTCCGTCTTGGTAAGGCAGTCCGTCTTGGTAAGGCAGTCCGTCTTGATAAGGCAGTCCCTCTTGGTAAGGCAGTCCGTCTTGGTAAGGCAGTCCGTCTTGCTAAGGCAGTTAGTCTTGGAAAGGCAGTCCGACTTGGAAAGGCAGTCCGTCTTGGTAAGGCAGTCCGTCTTGGTAAGGTAGTCCGTCTTGGTAAGGCAGTCCGTCTTGGTAAGGCAGTCCGTCTTGGTAAGGCAGTCCGTCTTGGAAAGGCAGTCCGTCTTGGTAAGGCAGTCCGTCTTGGTAAGGCAGTCCGTCTTGATACGGCAGTCCGTCTTGGTAAGGCAGTCCGTCTTGGTAAGGCAGTCCGTCTGGTAAGGCAGTCTCGTCTTGGTAAGGCAGTCCGTCTTGGAAGGCAGTCCGTCTTGGTAAGACAGTCCTATCTTGGTAAGGCATGTCCGTCTTGGTAAGGCAGTCCGTCTTGGTAAGGGCAAGTCCGTCTTGGAAGGCAGTCCGTCTTGGTAATGCAATCCGTCTTGGTAAGGCAAGTCCCGTCTTGGGAAGGCAGTCCGTCTTGGTAAGGCAATCCGTCTTGGTAAGGCAGTCCGTCTGGTAAGGCAGTCCGTCTTGGTAAGGCAGTCCGTCTTGGGAAGGCAGTCCGTCTTGGTAAGGCAGTCCGTCTTGGTAAGGCAGTCCGTCTTGGTAAGGCAGTCCGTCTTGGTAAGGCAGTCCGTCTTGGTAAGGCAGTCCGTCTTGGTAAGGCAGTCCGTCTTGGTAAGGGCAGTCCGTCTTGGTAAGGCAGTCCGTCTTGGTAAGGCAGTCCGTCTTGGTAAGGCAGTCCGTCTCGGTAAGGCAGTCCGTCTTGGTAAGGCAGTCCGTCTTGGAAAGCCAGTCCGTCTTGGAAAGACAGTCAGTCTTGGTAAGGCAGTCCATCTTGGTAAGGCAGTCCGTCTTGGTAAGGCAGTCCGTCTTGGTAGGGAAGTCCGTCTTGGTAAGGCAGTCCGTCTTGGTAAGGCAGTGCGTCTTGGTAAGGCAGTCCCTCTTGATAAGGCAGTCCCTCTTGGTAAGGCAGTCCGTCTTGGTAAGGCAGTCCGTCTTGCTAAGGCAGTCCGTCTTGGTAAGGCAGGCCGTCTTGGTAAGGCAGTCCGTCTTGGTAAGGCAGTCCGTCTTGATAAGGCAGTCCATCTAGGTAAGGCAGTTCGTCTTGGTAAGGCAGTCCGTCTTGGTAGGGAAGTCCGTCTTGGTAAGGCAGTCCGTCTTGGTAAGGCAGTCCGTCTTGATAAGGCAGTCCCTCTTGGTAAGGCAGTCCGTCTTGGTAAGGCAGTCCGTTTTGCTAAGGCAGTTACTCTTGGTAAGGCAGTCCGTCTTGATAAGGCTGTCCGTCTTGGTAAGGCAGTCCGTCTTGGTAAGGCAGTCCGTCTTGGTAAGGCAGTCCGTCTTGGTAAGGCAGTTCGTCTTGGTAAGGCAGTCCGTCTTGGTAAGGCAGTCCGTCTTGGTAAGGCAGTCCGTCTTGGAAAGGCAGTCCGTCTTGGAAAAGCAGTCCGTCTTGGAAAAGCAGTCCGTCTTGGAAAAGCAGTCCGTATTGGTAAGGCGGTCCGTCTTGGTAAGGGAGTCCGTCTTGGAAAGGCAGTCCGTCTTGGTAAAGCAGTCCGTCTTAGTAAGGCAGTCCGTCTTGGTAAGGCAGTCCGTCTTGGTAAGGCAGTCCGTCTTGGAAAGGCAGTCCGTCTTGGTAAGGCAGTCCGTATTGGTAAGGCGGTCCGTCTTGGTAAGGCAGTCCGTCTTGGAAAGGCAGTCCGTCTTGGTAAGGCACTCCGTCTTAGAGGAAGTACGTCTTGGTAAGGCATTCCGTCTTGGTAAGGCAGTCCGTCTTGGTAAGGCAGTCCGTCTTGGTAAGGCAGTCCGTCTTGGTAAGGCAGTCCGTCTTGGAAAGGCAGTCCGTCTTGGAAAGGCAGTTCGGCTTGGTAAGGCAGTCCGTCTTGGTAAGGCAGTACGTCTTAGAGGCAGTCCGTCTTGGTAAGGCAGTCCGTGTTGGTAAGGCAGTCCGTCTTGGTAAGGCAGTCCGTCTTGGTAAGGCAGTCCGTCTTGGAAAGGCAGTCCATCTTGGAAAGGCAGTCCGTCTTGGTAAGGCAGTCCGTCTTGGAAAGGCAGTCCGTCTTGGAAAGGCAGTCCGTCTTGGAAAAGCAGTCCGTCTTGGAAAAGCAGTCCGTCTTGGAAAAGCAGTCCGTCTTGGAAAAGCAGTCCGTCTAGGAAAAGCAGTCCGTCTTGGAAAAGCAGTCCGTCTCGGAGGCAGTCCGTCTTGGTAAGGCAGTCCGTCTTGGTAAGGCAGTTCGTCTTGGAGGCAGTCCGTCTTGGTAAGGCAGTCCGTCTTGGTAAGGCAGTCCGTCTTGGTAAGGCAGTCCGTCTTGGTAAGGCAGTCCGTCTTGGTTAGGCAGTCCGTCTTGGTAAGGCAGTCCGTCTTGGTAAGGCAGTCCGTCTTGGAGGCAGTCCGTCTTGGAAAGGCAGTTCGTCTTGGTAAGGCAGTCCGTCTTGGTAAGGCAGTCCGTCTTAGAGGCAGTCCGTCTTGGTAAGGCAGTCCGTGTTGGTAAGACAGTCCGTCTTGGTAAGGCAGTCCGTCTTGGTAAGGTAGTCCGTCTTGGAAAGGCAGTCCGTCTTGGAAAGGCAGTCTGTCTTGGAAAGGCAGTCCGTCTTGGTAAGGCAGTCGGTCTTGGAAAGGCAGTCCATCTTGGAAAGGCAGTCCGTCTTGGAAAAGCAGTCCGTCTTGGAAAAGCAGTCTGTCTTGGAAAAGCAGTCCGTCTTGGAAAAGCAGTTCGTCTAGGAAAACTAGTCCGTCTTGGAAAAGCAGTCCGTCTCGGAGGCAGTCCGTCTTGGTAAGGCAGTCCGTCTTGGTAAGGCAGTCCGTCTTGGAGGCAGTCCGTCTTGGAAAAGCAGTCCGTCTTGGAAAGGCAGTTCGTCTTGGTAAGGCAGTCCGTCTTGGTAAGGCAGTCCGTCTTAGAGGCAGTCCGTCTTGGTAAGGCAGTCCGTGTTGGTAAGACAGTCCGTCTTGGTAAGGCAGTCCGTCTTGGTAAGGCAGTCCGTCTTGGAAAGGCAGTCCGTCTTGGTAAGGCAGTCTGTCTTGGAAAGGCAGTCCGTCTTGGTAAGGCAGTCCGTCTTGGAAAGGCAGTCCGTCTTGGAAAGGCAGTCCGTCTTGGAAAAGCAGTCCGTCTTGGAAAAGCAGTCCGTCTTGGAAAAGCAGTCCGTCTTGGAAAAGCAGTTCGTCTAGGAAAACTAGTCCGTCTTGGAAAAGCAGTCCGTCTCGGAGGCAGTCCGTCTTGGTAAGGCAGTCCGTCTTGGTAAGGCAGTCCGTCTTGGAGGCAGTCCGTCTTGGTAAGGCAGTCCGTCTTGGAAAGGCAGTCCGTCTTGGAAAGGCAGTCCGTCTTGGTAAGGCAGTCCGTCTTGGTAAGGCAGTCCGTCTTGGAGGCAGTCCGTCTTGGAAAGGCAGTCCGTCTTGGTAAGGCAGTCCGTCTTGGTAAGGCAGTCCGTCTTGGTAAGGCAGTCCGTCTTGATACGGCAGTCCCTCTTGGTAAGGAAGTCCGTCTTGGTAAGGCAGTCCGTCTTAGAGGCAGTCCGTCTTGGTAAGGCAGTCCGTGTTGGTAAGGCAGTCCGTCTTGGGAAGGCAGTCCGTCTTGGTAAGGCAGTCCGTCTTGGTAAGGCAGTCCGTCTTGGAAAGGCAGTCTGTCTTGGAAAGGCAGTCCGTCTTGGTAAGGCAGTCCCTCTTGGTAAGGCAGTCCGTCTTGGTAAGGCAGTCCGTCTTAGAGGCAGTCCGTCTTGGTAAGGCAGTCCGTGTTGGTAAGGCAGTCCGTCTTGGTAAGGCAGTCCGTCTTGGTAAGGCAGTCCGTCTTGGTAAGGCAGTCCGTCTTGGTAAGGCAGTCCGTCTTGATACTGTTGAGTGATGCTACCATTCGCATTCACGTCTGTCTGCCTCCCATCATATGTTCGTGCGTTGCATGCGTGTTGTGAGTGTGTGCAAGAATTTGTGTTTTGTGCGGTTTGGTTTTTCTGAGTGTGTGTGTGAATGTTATTTGGCTTGAGCAGATATCTGAAGTGACTCCTCTGCTCAAGAGCTTTCCGAGGAACCAAGTATCGCTTCAATCGGAGCACGAACAAGAAAGTTACGAACGTTGGAGTTCGTATGCTTTTGATATTTGGTTGTGGTGACTATGGGAAGTTGTGGGGTTGACTCAATATGGGGTACAGACTTTTGGGGGTTGGGAAATTCGTCTTTTCTACTGTAGTTGCTGCCAAATGGTTGGGAGAAACCAAACCAGGTTGGCAAGTGTGGCCAAGTTGGGTTGAGGTGGATTGTGGAGGTTGGGATAGTGACAAAGGTCAAAGTTGGGTTGCCTATGGGGAAGGGAATTGTATGGCATGGGGTTTCCTTGGTTGGGGACTCTCTTGGGACCTTCCCTCTCGTCCTCCTCATCCCCTCCTACCTGGTTCTATTGCTACTCTAACTTTCTTGTGTGAACTTGTGAGATCATTGTGATTGAGTTACGTTTTCTATGGCAGCATACCCCCTAGTGCGCCGAAGTTCATAACTCGAGTTATACTCCATATTCTGATACTATTCAAATTGGGAAAGATAGCCACGGTCAAGGGCTACAACATACTCGAGTTTGAAAGAATTCTAACAGTGGACCTTTCGTCGACGACGTTTTCTTGTGACGACGACTTTTCTGTCCAGAATTGTAGTTGACGATTTTGAGATATTTCAGCCCCTAATCTTCATAGACTCCGTCCTTAATCTCTAACAAGTGGTATCAGAGCTGATTAAGGACCTTGTGGGGAGTCTACTGAAGTGTGAAGACCCTCCTAGACCCACCATGGCCTGTGGGCGTGCCTAAGTGGAGTTCTGGAGGTTGGATGTGACTTCCGCTAAGGGGAAACTCTGCCGAAATTTCGTTGGCGCTGACACTTGTGAAGATTGTGTGGATCTACATTGTGACCAGCAAAAGGGGGAGCTGAAACCTCTGATTGGGAGCAGAGGAGATGAATCAAGGGAGTGGAGATGCAGCTGAGAAGAGGAGTGAGCCGCCACCATCCAAGATTGAAGCTTTGGATGGCTCCAACTATGAGGAATGGAGCGGGCGGATGCGGAGCGCCTTCAAGCGCTACAAGCTGCTGAAAATTGCAATGGGAGAGGAGAAGATGCCGGGGGAAGGAGATGCCCGCGATCGGTGGATTGAGAAGAGCGCGGTGCTGTACGACCTCATCCTCCAATCGGTCAACAACGACATGTTCCAGCACATCAAGGATTTGGTGGAGTTGGATGATTCCGGACCGAAGGCATGGAAGCTGCTACGCGACGTGATTCAGCCCAACACGCTGCCGATGGTGATTGTGTTGGAGAAGGAGTTGGCTGCCCTCTCCATGAAACCGGGAGATGATGTGAAACGGGTCCTTGACAAGATCAAGGACACCTATGCGAGGATGGCAGCGGCGGGCAGCGAAGTGTCGCAGATGCAACAGTGCACCAAGATCATCTCGGTGCTCGACAACTCGTGGGACAACCTCATCCCCACCCTCAACGTTCAGCAGGACAAATGGACGCCTGAGTGGCTACGGCAGCAGATTCTGCAGGAGGACTTCCGCAGACGCCACACGGGAGGTGGTGCTGCCAACAAAACTGCTGAGGGGTATGGAGCTGCAGGAGGCAGCAGAGGAAGAGGGGGAGGGATAGGCCGAGGCCGTGGGAGAGGCTTTGGCAGAGGGAGAGGCCGAGGTGACTACAATGAGGGGCATGGGAGCTCTGGTGGCAGGGGGAGCACCCGAATGGAGGGTGCGTGCTGGTACTGCAAGAAGGCTGGACACCCGTGGTTCAAGTGTTTCAGCCGGCCTGAGGGATGGGCCCCTCCAGGCATGAAGCCGCCAAGTGGTGAACGTGCACGCGGTGGCGCTGTGCAAGGTTCAGGTGCACAAGGTGATGGTGCACAAGGTAAAGCCGACCCTGGGATGTTCCTCATGGTTGAGGATGTGCAAGGGAGTGGGGGTGATGTGGGTTCAGTTGGGAAGGTTGTGATGCACCCCCTCACTCACTGGGTGATCGATTCAGGTTGCACGAGTCATATGACCCCACGGGCAGATTTGCTTGATGAGGTAAAACCTCCTGGGAAGATCAAGTTTGTGGCTGCCGCTTCAGGTGCTTTGCTCCCTGTGATTGGTGTTGGGAATGCCAAGGTGATGGGAGCCAATGGAGAGCTTGTGGGGCTTGGGAATGTGCTGTTGGTTGAAGGTTTGTCCGCTAACCTTCTTTCTGTGCGCCGGCTGCAGAAGAGCAAGGCTGAAGTTACCTTCGGCCCAACCAGCTGCCGTGCAAAGCTTGGGAAGTTGCTGCTGTGGAACTTGGAGGAGAAGAGCAGCTGCATCAAGGACTTGTGGCAGCTGCCCATCATCCCTTGGAAGGGGAAACCACCAGCAACGGCAAAGGCAGCGGCAGCGGCTAAAGCAACTGCGGGAGGAGAGGAGACTGCACCAACTGCTGGGGCCCTGGATGCAGTCAAGAAGGTGCAGCAGCCACAACAGCCACATGGTGAGGTGCTTGCTGGTGTGGATGCGACAGCTGCATGGGCAAAGGCTTCATCTGGGAGTGGTGAGGCTGATTGGGAGACGTGGCATGAGAGGCTGTGCCATGTGAACATTCCTATGCTGCAGAAGTTGGTAAAGGATGGGTGCTTGAAGGGGCTGGAGGTGAAGGGGGGAGCAAAGGAGATTGGGAGCTGCCCTACCTGCCTTGAGACCAAATTCACGAAGTTTCCCTTCAGCAGCAGCACAGGACCAGCCAAGGCACCACTTGCACTAGTGCACATGGATGTGGTGGGCCCCACGAGGGCCCTTTCTCTCTCGGGCAGCCGCTACTTCTTGACGATTGTGGACGACCACACGCGTGCGGTGTGGGTGTACCCTCTCAAGACTAAGGGGGAGGTGGCAGCGGCTGTTCTTAAGGAGTGGATGCCGAGAGCACAAAGGGAAAGCGGACACAAGGTGAAGGTGATCCGCACTGACAACGGAGGAGAGTTCATCGGCGCTGATTTTGAGAAGGAGCTGAAGCGGAAGGGGATCCAGCATCAGCTCACAGTGCCTTACAACCCTCAGCAGAATGGCGTGGCTGAGCGGTTCAACCGGACCCTGCAGGAAGGTGCTCGCACTCTCCTTGGGCGTGCAGGGCTGCCGGATCCGTTTTGGGTGACAGCACTGCGGCAGGTCGTTGTTGTGAAGAACAGGGTGCTGGCAACTGTGGGGGACAAGCAGTGGGTCCCCTACACCAAGTGGTATGGGATTGCACCAGCTGTGAACATGCTGAGAGCCTTTGGGTGCATGGTGGTGTTTCATGTGCCTAAGGAGAAGAGGGGAAAACTGGAAGCTTCTGGGAGATGGGGTGTGCACTTGGGGCTTGCTAAGGATCACAAGGGCTGGCTGATTTGGGACTTGACCAGCCAGCAGCTGACCGTGTCAAGGGATGTGAAGTTCCTTGAGTCCTTGTACTACAAGGAGTGGAAGCAGCAGCAGCAGCAGAAGCTTCCAACGACACCGCTAATTGTCGAGGCCGATGAGGTGCAGCGGCCTTCAAGGCAAGTGGAGGTTTCTGTCTCTGAGAATGAGATCTCTGGGGTGACAGAGGATGGGGGAGAACCTGAGGTGGAGGAGCAGCAGCAGCAGCAACAGCAGCAGCAGCCGCAGCAGCAGGAGGAGCAAGGTGCTCCACAAGGTGCCGGACGTACGGCTGACCGTCCTAGGAGGGATGTGCGCCCTCCTAACAGGCTGACCTATGCAAGCCGTGGCAAGCCAAAGGTGGTAAGGGCTGGGAGTGTGGCTGAGCAGTGTGATGAGGATGAGATAGCACACTGCTACTGGGCAGCCGTCCCTGAGCCCAAGACGCTAGCTGAGGCATTGAGCGGGCCCGATGCTGAAAAGTGGAAGCAGAGTGTGAAGGAGGAGTATGATTCTCTGCTAGAGAATGAGACGTGGGAGCTGTGTGAGCTGCCACCTGGGAAGAAGGCCATTTCTTCCAAGCTGATTTTCAGGCACAAGTACGGACCTGATGGGGCGCTGACCCGCTACAAGTCAAGGCTTGTGGCTAAGGGGTTTCAGCAGACAAAGGGAAAGGACTTCAACGAGCTCTATGCTCCTGTGGGGAAAGGCACAACACTTCGGGTGTCATTGGCAATGGCAGCATACCGTGGATGGCGGGTGAAGCAGATGGACATCACCACCGCCTTCCTCAATGGGATCATTCTGGAGGAGCTGTACATGTTACAGCCTGAGGGTTTGGATGATGGGAGCGGCAGGGTGTGCAGGCTGAAGAAGGCCATCTATGGCCTGAAGCAGGCTCCTCGTGCATGGTACCACAAGTTAGAGGAGACTCTGCTGGCTGGGGGTTTCAAGAAGAGTGAGTGTGATCACAGCTTGTTCCTGCTGCAGGAGAAGGAGCAGTTTCTCATGCTCCTGGTGTATGTGGATGACATCCTGCTCTTCTCTGAGTCGTCTGCAATGATTGAGCATGTGGAGGAGATGCTGGAGATGCAGTTTAAGTGCTCCAAGATGGGAGATGTGAAGTACTATTTGGGCATGCATGTGGAGAGGGACCTTGACAAGGGAGTGTTGAGGTTGCACCAGAGAAAGTATTGTGAGGGGCTGGCTGAGAAGTATGGGCTGCAAGATGGAGGAAAGCCAGCCACCCCACTGCCTTCGGGGTTCACTGTGGAGCCCTGTGCTGAAGAGGAGGTGGTGGGTGAGAGTGACAGGAAGCTGTTTCATTCCATGGTGGGGGCACTCAATTATGCGGCTAACCACACGCGGCCTGACATTGCCTTTGCTACATCCAGGCTTGCAAGTGTGGTTTCACGCCCCAGTCATGAGCAGCTGGAAGCGGCCAAGAGGTTGGTCCGCTATGTGAGCGCTACGGCATTAGTGGGCTTGGAGTACAGTGCTGTGCGACAAAGGCTGCAGAGGGGTGCAGCTGATTTGGGCAAGGGGGAGATGCTCCTGACCTGCTACACCGACGCTAGCTTCAACTCTGTGAAGGCGGATGGCACCAGCATTGGAGGCTATGTGTGCCTGTTTGGAGGTGGTGCTGTGAGCTGGCGCAGCAAGAAGCAGAACGAGGTGGGGCAGTCCTCGTGTGAGACAGAGTACATGGCTCTGCATCATGGGGCAAAGGAGGTGGTGTGGCTGAGGCGTTTGTTGGAGGAGATCGGAGTGTGCCAAAAGGATCCAACTGTGATTTTCTGTGACAACGAGTCGGCTGTGAAGCTTGCTAAGAATGCTTGCCTTCATGGGCTGACGAAGCACATCAGGCCTAAGTGGCATTGGGTGAGGAGGCTCCTGGACAAGGAGGTGCGGCTGGAGATTGTGAAGACCCATCAGCAGGCGGCTGACATTCTCACCAAGCGCCTGGCTGAATCTGAGCATTGGAAGGGCATGAAGCTTGCTGGGATGAGTGTGCATTGAGGATGCATGCTTGAGCTATGGCATGTGGGATGATGGTTGGCAGCCAGAGGGGGAGTTTGTTGAGTGATGCTACCATTCGCATTCACGTCTGTCTGCCTCCCATCATATGTTCGTGCGTTGCATGCGTGTTGTGAGTGTGTGCAAGAATTTGTGTTTTGTGCGGTTTGGTTTTTCTGAGTGTGTGTGTGAATGTTATTTGGCTTGAGCAGATATCTGAAGTGACTCCTCTGCTCAAGAGCTTTCCGAGGAACCAAGTATCGCTTCAATCGGAGCACGAACAAGAAAGTTACGAACGTTGGAGTTCGTATGCTTTTGATATTTGGTTGTGGTGACTATGGGAAGTTGTGGGGTTGACTCAATATGGGGTACAGACTTTTGGGGGTTGGGAAATTCGTCTTTTCTACTGTAGTTGCTGCCAAATGGTTGGGAGAAACCAAACCAGGTTGGCAAGTGTGGCCAAGTTGGGTTGAGGTGGATTGTGGAGGTTGGGATAGTGACAAAGGTCAAAGTTGGGTTGCCTATGGGGAAGGGAATTGTATGGCATGGGGTTTCCTTGGTTGGGGACTCTCTTGGGACCTTCCCTCTCGTCCTCCTCATCCCCTCCTACCTGGTTCTATTGCTACTCTAACTTTCTTGTGTGAACTTGTGAGATCATTGTGATTGAGTTACGTTTTCTATGGCAGCATACCCCCTAGTGCGCCGAAGTTCATAACTCGAGTTATACTCCATATTCTGATACTATTCAAATTGGGAAAGATAGCCACGGTCAAGGGCTACAACATACTCGAGTTTGAAAGAATTCTAACAGTGGACCTTTCGTCGACGACGTTTTCTTGTGACGACGACTTTTCTGTCCAGAATTGTAGTTGACGATTTTGAGATATTTCAGCCCCTAATCTTCATAGACTCCGTCCTTAATCTCTAACAGATACGGCAGTCCCTCTTGGTAAGGCAGTCCGTCTTGGTAAGGCAGTCCGTCTTAGAGTCAGTCCGTCTTGGTAAGGCAGTCCGTCTTGGTAAGGCAGTCCGTCTTGGTAAGGCAGTCCGTCTTGGTAGGGAAGTCCGTCTTGGTAAGGCAGTCCGTCTTGGTAAGGCAGTCCGTCTTGGTAAGGCAGTCCGTCTTGATAAGGCAGTCCCTCTTGGTAAGGCAGTCCGTCTTGGTAAGGCAGTCCGTCTTGCTAAGGCAATCCATCTTGGTAAGGCAGTCCGTCTTGGTAAGGCAGTCCGTCTTGGTAAGGCAGTCCGTCTTGGTAAGGCAGTCCGTCTTGGTAAGGCAGTCCGTCTTGGTAAGGCAGTCCGTCTTGGAAAGGCAGTCCGTCTTGGGAAGGCAGTTTGTCTTGGTAAGGCAGTCCGTCTTGGTAAGGCAGTCCGTCTTGCTAAGGCAGTCCGTCTTGGGAAGGCAGTCCGTCTTGATAAGGCAGTCCCTCTTGGTAAGGCAGTCCGTCTTGGTAAGGCAGTCCGTCTTGCTAAGGCAGTCCGTCTTGGTAAGGCAGTCCGTCTTGGTAAGGCAGTCCGTCTTGGTAAGGCAGTCCGTCTTGGTAAGGCAGTCCGTCTTGGTAAGGCAGTCCGTCTTGGTAAGGCAGTCCGTCTTGTAAGGCAGTCCGTCTTGGTAAGGCAGTCCGTCTTGGAAAGGCAGTCCGTCTTGGAAAGGCAGTCCGTCTTGGTAAGGCAGTCCGTCTTGGTAAGGCAGTCCGTCTTGGTAAGGCAGTCCGTCTTGGTAAGGCAGTCCGTCTTGGTAAGGCAGTCCGTCTTGGTAAGGCAGTCCGTCTTGGTAAGGCAGTCCGTCTTGGTAAGGCAGTCCGTCTTGGTAAGGCAGTCCGTCTTGGTAAGGCAGTCCGTCTTGGGAAGGCAGTTCGTCTTGGTAAGGCAGTCCGTCTTGGAAAGGCAGTCCGTCTTGGGAAGGCAGTTCGTCTTGGTAAGGCAGTCCGTCTTGGAAAGGCAGTCCGTCTTGGAAAGGCAGTCCGTCTTGGTAAGGCAGTCCGTCTTGGAAAGGCAGTCCGTCTTGGAAAGACAGTCCGTCTTGGAAAGGCAGTCCGTCTTGGTAAGGCAGTCCGTCTTGATAAGGCAGTCCGTCTTGGTAAGGCAGTCCGTCTTGGTAAGGCAGTCCGTCTTGGTAAGGCAGTCCGTCTTGGTACGGCAGTCCGTCTTGGTAAGGCAGTCCGTCTTGGTAAGGCAGTCCGTCTTGGTAAGGCAGTCCGTCTTGGAAAGGCAGTCCGTCTTGGAAAAGCAGTCCGTCTTGGAAAGGCAGTCCGTCTTGGAAAGGCAGTCCGTCTTGGTAAGGCAGTCCGTCTTGGTAAGGCAGTCCGTCTTGGAAAGGCAGTCCGTCTTGGTAAAGCAGTCCGTCTTAGTAAGGCAGTCCGTCTTGGTAAGGCAGTCCGTCTTGGTAAGGCAGTCCGTCTTGGTAAGGCAGTCCGTCTTGGAGGCAGTCCGTCTTGGAAAGGCAGTCCGTCTTGGTAAGGCAGTCCGTCTTGGTAAGGCAGTCCGTCTTAGAGGCAGTCCGTCTTGGTAAGGCAGTCCGTGTTGGTAAGGCAGTCCGTCTTGGTAAGGCAGTCCGTCTTGGTAAGGCAGTCCGTCTTGGTAAGGCAGTCCGTCTTGGTAAGGCAGTCTGTCTTGGAAAGGCAGTCCGTCTTGGTAAGGCAGTCCGTCTTGGAAAGGCAGTCCGTCTTGGAAAGGCAGTCCGTCTTGGAAAAGCAGTCCGTCTTGGAAAGGCAGTCCGTCTTGGAAAAGCAGTCCGTCTTGGAAAGGCAGTCCGTCTAGGAAACTAGTCCGTCTTGGAAAAGCAGTCCGTCTCGGAGGCAGTCCGTCTTGGTAAGGCAGTCCGTCTTGGTAAGGCAGTCCGTCTTGGAGGCAGTCCGTTTTGGTAAGGCAGTCCGTCTTGGAAAGGCAGTCCGTCTTGGAAGGCAGTCCGTCTTGGTAAGGCAGTCCGTCTTGGTAAGGCAGTCCGTCTTGGAGGCAGTCCGTCTTGGTAAGGCAGTCCGTCTTGGTAAGGCAGTCCGTCTTGGTAAGGCAGTCCGTCTTGGTAAGGCAGTCCGTCTTGATACGGCAGTCCGTCTTGGTAAGGCAGTCCGTCTTGGTAAGGCAGTCCGTCTTGGAGGCAGTCCGTCTTGGTAAGGCAGTCCGTCTTGGTAAGGCAGTCCGTCTTGGAAGGCAGTCCGTCTTGGTAAGGCAGTCCGTCTTGGTAAGGCAGTCCGTCTTGGAAGGCAGTCCGTCTTGGAAAGGCAGTCCGTCTTGGTAAGGCAGTCCGTCTTGGTAAGGCAGTCCGTCTTGGTAAGGCAGTCCGTCTTAGAGGCAGTCCGTCTTGGTAAGGCAGTCCGTCTTGGTAAGGCAGTCCGTCTTGGTAAGGCAGTCCGTCTTGGTAAGGCAGTCCGTCTTGGTAAGGCAGTCCGTCTTGGTAAGGCAGTCCGTCTTGATAAGGCAGTCCGTCTTGGTAAGGCAGTCCGTCTTGGTAAGGCAGTCCGTCTTAGAGGCAGTCCGTCTTGGTAAGGCAGTCCGTCTTGGTAAGGCAGTCCGTCTTGGTAGGGCAGTCCGTCTTGGTAAGGCAGTCCGTCTTGGTAAGGCAGTCCGTCTTGGTAAGGCAGTCCGTCTTGATAAGGCAGTCCCTCTTGGTAAGGCAGTCCGTCTTGGTAAGGCAGTCCGTCTTGGTAAGGCAGTCCGTCTTGGTAAGGCAGTCCGTCTTGGTAAGGCAGTCCGTCTTGGTAAGGCAGTCCGTCTTGGTAAGGCAGTCCGTCTTGGTAAGGCAGTCCGTCTTGGTAAGGCAGTCCGTCTTGGAAAGGCAGTCCGTCTTGGGAAGGCAGTCCGTCTTGGTAAGGCAGTCCGTCTTGGTAAGGCAGTCCGTCTTGCTAAGGCAGTCCGTCTTGGTAAGGCAGTCCGTCTTGATAAGGCAGTCCGTCTTGGTAAGGCAGTCCGTCTTGGTAAGGCAGTCCGTCTTGGTAAGGCAGTCCGTCTTGGTAAGGCAGTCCGTCTTGGTAAGGCAGTCCGTCTTGGTAAGGCAGTCCGTCTTGGTAAGGCAGTCCGTCTTGGTAAGGCAGTCCGTCTTGGTAAGGCAGTCCGTCTTGGTAAGGCAGTCCGTCTTGGTAAGGCAGTCCGTCTTGGTAAGGCAGTCCGTCTTGGTAAGGCAGTCCGTCTTGGTAAGGCAGTCCGTCTTGGTAAGGCAGTCCGTCTTGGTAAGGCAGTCCGTCTTGGTAAGGCAGTCCGTCTTGGTAAGGCAGTCCGTCTTGGTAAGGCAGTCCGTCTTGGTAAGGCAGTCCGTCTTGGTAAGGCAGTCCGTCTTGGTAAGGCAGTCCGTCTTGGTAAGGCAGTCCGTCTTGGTAAGGCAGTCCGTCTTGGTAAGGCAGTCCGTCTTGGTAAGGCAGTCCGTCTTGGTAAGGCAGTCCGTCTTGGTAAGGCAGTCCGTCTTGGTAAGGCAGTCCGTCTTGGTAAGGCAGTCCGTCTTGGTAAGGCAGTCCGTCTTGGAAAGGCAGTCCGTCTTGGTAAGGCAGTCGTCTTGGTAAGGCAGTCCGTCTTGGTAAGGCAGTCCGTCTTGGTAAGGCAGTCCGTCTTGGTAAGGCAGTCCGTCTTGGTAAGGCAGTCCGTCTTGGTAAGGCAGTCCGTCTTGGTAAGGCAGTCCGTCTTGGTAAGGCAGTCCGTCTTGGTAAGGCAGTCCGTCTTGGTAAGGCAGTCCGTCTTGGTAAGGCAGTCCGTCTTGGTAAGGCAGTCCGTCTTGGTAAGGCAGTCCGTCTTGGTAAGGCAGTCCGTCTTGGTAAGGCAGTCCGTCTTGGTAAGGCAGTCCGTCTTGGTAAGGCAGTCCGTCTTGGTAAGGCAGTCCGTCTTGGTAAGGCAGTCCGTCTTGGTAAGGCAGTCCGTCTTGGTAAGGCAGTCCGTCTTGGTAAGGCAGTCCGTCTTGGTAAGGCAGTCCGTCTTGGTAAGGCAGTCCGTCTTGGTAAGGCAGTCCGTCTTGGTAAGGCAGTCCGTCTTGGTAAGGCAGTCCGTCTTGGTAAGGCAGTCCGTCTTGGTAAGGCAGTCCGTCTTGGTAAGGCAGTCCGTCTTGGTAAGGCAGTCCGTCTTGGTAAGGCAGTCCGTCTTGGTAAGGCAGTCCGTCTTGGTAAGGCAGTCCGTCTTGGTAAGGCAGTCCGTCTTGGTAAGGCAGTCCGTCTTGGAAAGGCAGTCCGTCTTGGTAAGGCAGTCCGTCTTGGTAAGGCAGTCCGTCTTGGTAAGGCAGTCCGTCTTGGAAAGGCAGTCCGTCTTGGAAAGGCAGTCCGTCTTGGAAAGGCAGTCCGTCTTGGTAAGGCAGTCCGTCTTGGAAAGGCAGTCCGTCTTGGAAAGGCAGTCCGTCTTGGTAAGGCAGTCCGTCTTGGAAAGGCAGTCCGTCTTGGTAAGGCAGTCCGTCTTGGTAAGGCAGTCCGTCTTGGTAAGGCAGTCCGTCTTGGAAAGGCAGTCCGTCTTGGTAAGGCAGTCCGTCTTGGTAAGGCAGTCCGTCTTGGTAAGGCAGTCCGTCTTGGTAAGGCAGTCCGTCTTGGTAAGGCAGTCCGTCTTGGTAAGGCAGTCCGTCTTGGTAAGGCAGTCCGTCTTGGTAAGGCAGTCCGTCTTGGTAAGGCAGTCCGTCTTGGTAAGGCAGTCCGTCTTGGTAAGGCAGTCCGTCTTGGAAGGCAGTCCGTCTTGGTAAGGCAGTCCGTCTTGGTAAGGCAGTCCGTCTTGGTAAGGCAGTCCGTCTTGGTAAGGCAGTCCGTCTTGGTAAGGCAGTCCGTCTTGGTAAGGCAGTCCGTCTTGGTAAGGCAGTCCGTCTTGGAAAGGCAGTCCGTCTTGGTAAGGCAGTCCGTCTTGGTAAGGCAGTCCGTCTTGGTAAGGCAGTCCGTCTTGGTAAGGCAGTCCGTCTTGGTAAGGCAGTCCGTCTTGGTAAGGCAGTCCGTCTTGGAAAGGCAGTCCGTCTTGGAAAGGCAGTCCGTCTTGGTAAGGCAGTCCGTCTTGGAAAGGCAGTCCGTCTTGGTAAGGCAGTCCGTCTTGGTAAGGCAGTCCGTCTTGGAAAGGCAGTCCGTCTTGGTAAGGCAGTCCGTCTTGGAAAGGCAGTCCGTCTTGGTAAGGCAGTCCGTCTTGGAAAGGCAGTCCGTCTTGGTAAGGCAGTCCGTCTTGGTAAGGCAGTCCGTCTTGGTAAGGCAGTCCGTCTTGGTAAGGCAGTCCGTCTTGGTAAGGCAGTCCGTCTTGGTAAGGCAGTCCGTCTTGGTAAGGCAGTCCGTCTTGGTAAGGCAGTCCGTCTTGGTAAGGCAGTCCGTCTTGGTAAGGCAGTCCGTCTTGGTAAGGCAGTCCGTCTTGGTAAGGCAGTCCGTCTTGGTAAGGCAGTCCGTCTTGGTAAGGCAGTCCGTCTTGGTAAGGCAGTCCGTCTTGGTAAGGCAGTCCGTCTTGGAAAGGCAGTCCGTCTTGGTAAGGCAGTCCGTCTTGGTAAGGCAGTCCGTCTTGGTAAGGCAGTCCGTCTTGGTAAGGCAGTCCGTCTTGGTAAGGCAGTCCGTCTTGGTAAGGCAGTCCGTCTTGGTAAGGCAGTCCGTCTTGATAAGGCAGTCCGTCTTGGTAAGGCAGTCCGTCTTGGTAAGGCAGTCCGTCTTGGTAAGGCAGTCCGTCTTGGTAAGGCAGTCCGTCTTGGTAAGGCAGTCCGTCTTGGTAAGGCAGTCCGTCTTGGTAAGGCAGTCCGTCTTGGTAAGGCAGTCCGTCTTGGTAAGGCAGTCCGTCTTGGTAAGGCAGTCCGTCTTGGTAAGGCAGTCCGTCTTGGTAAGGCAGTCCGTCCTGGTAAGGCAGTCCGTCTTGGAAAGGCAGTCCGTCTTGGTAAGGCAGTCCGTCTTGGTAAGGCAGTCCGTCTTGGAAAGGCAGTCCGTCTTGGTAAGGCAGTCCGTCTTGGTAAGGCAGTCCGTCTTGGTAAGGCAGTCCGTCTTGGTAAGGCAGTCCGTCTTGGTAAGGCAGTCCGTCTTGGTAAGGCAGTCCGTCTTGGTAAGGCAGTCCGTCTTGGTAAGGCAGTCCGTCTTGGTAAGGCAGTCCGTCTTGGTAAGGCAGTCCGTCTTGGAAAGGCAGTCCGTCTTGGAAAGGCAGTCCGTCTTGGAAAGGCAGTCCGTCTTGGAAAGGCAGTCCGTCTTGGTAAGGCAGTCCGTCTTGGTAAGGCAGTCCGTCTTGGTAAGGCAGTCCGTCTTGGTAAGCAGTCCGTCTTGGTAAGGCAGTCCGTCTTGGTAAGGCAGTCCGTCTTGGTAAGGCAGTCCGTCTTGGTAAGGCAGTCCGTCTTGGTAAGGCAGTCCGTCTTGGTAAGGCAGTCCGTCTTGGTAAGGCAGTCCGTCTTGGTAAGGCAGTCCGTCTTGGTAAGGCAGTCCGTCTTGGAAGGCAGTCCGTCTTGGTAAGGCAGTCCGTCTTGGTAAGGCAGTCCGTCTTGGTAAGGCAGTCCGTCTTGGTAAGGCAGTCCGTCTTGGTAAGGCAGTCCGTCTTGGTAAGGCAGTCCGTCTTGGAAAGGCAGTCCGTCTTGGTAAGGCAGTCCGTCTTGGTAAGGCAGTCCGTCTTAGAGGCAGTCCGTCTTGGTAAGGCAGTCCGTCTTGGTAAGGCAGTCCGTCTTGGTAAGGCAGTCCGTCTTGGTAAGGCAGTCCGTCTTGGTAAGGCAGTCCGTCTTGGTAAGGCAGTCCGTCTTGGTAAGGCAGTCCGTCTTGGAAAGGCAGTCCGTCTTGGTAAGGCAGTCCGTCTTGGTAAGCAGTCCGTCTTGGAAAGGCAGTCCGTCTTGGTAAAGCAGTCCGTCTTGGTAAGGCAGTCCGTCTTGGAAAGGCAGTCCGTCTTGGAAAGGCAGTCCGTCTTGGAGGCAGTCCGTCTTGGTAAGGCAGTCCGTCTTGGTAAGGCAGTCCGTCTTGGAGGCAGTCCGTCTTGGTAAGGCAGTCCGTCTTGGTAAGGCAGTCCGTCTTGGTAAGGCAGTCCGTCTTGGTAAGGCAGTCCGTCTTGGTAAGGCAGTCCGTCTTGGTAAGGCAGTCCGTCTTGGTAAGGCAGTCCGTCTTGGTAAGGCAGTCCGTCTTGGTAAGGCAGTCCGTCTTGGTAAGGCAGTCCGTCTTGGTAAGGCAGTCCGTCTTGGTAAGGCAGTCCGTCTTGGTAAGGCAGTCCGTCTTGGTAAGGCAGTCCGTCTTGGTAAGGCAGTCCGTCTTGGTAAGGCAGTCCGTCTTGGTAAGGCAGTCCGTCTTGGTAAGGCAGTCCGTCTTGGTAAGGCAGTCCGTCTTGGTAAGGCAGTCCGTCTTGGTAAGGCAGTCCGTCTTGGTAAGGCAGTCCGTCTTGGTAAGGCAGTCCGTCTTGGTAAGGCAGTCCGTCTTGGTAAGGCAGTCCGTCTTGGTAAGGCAGTCCGTCTTGGTAAGGCAGTCCGTCTTGGTAAGGCAGTCCGTCTTGGTAAGGCAGTCCGTCTTGGTAAGGCAGTCCGTCTTGGTAAGGCAGTCCGTCTTGGTAAGGCAGTCCGTCTTGGTAAGGCAGTCCGTCTTGGTAAGGCAGTCCGTCTTGGTAAGGCAGTCCGTCTTGGTAAGGCAGTCCGTCTTGGTAAGGCAGTCCGTCTTGGTAAGGCAGTCCGTCTTGGTAAGGCAGTCCGTCTTGGTAAGGCAGTCCGTCTTGGTAAGGCAGTCCGTCTTGGTAAGGCAGTCCGTCTTGGTAAGGCAGTCCGTCTTGGTAAGGCAGTCCGTCTTGGTAAGGCAGTCCGTCTTGGTAAGGCAGTCCGTCTTGGTAAGGCAGTCCGTCTTGGTAAGGCAGTCCGTCTTGGTAAGGCAGTCCGTCTTGGTAAGGCAGTCCGTCTTGGTAAGGCAGTCCGTCTTGGTAAGGCAGTCCGTCTTGGTAAGGCAGTCCGTCTTGGTAAGGCAGTCCGTCTTGGTAAGGCAGTCCGTCTTGGTAAGGCAGTCCGTCTTGGTAAGGCAGTCCGTCTTGGTAAGGCAGTCCGTCTTGGTAAGGCAGTCCGTCTTGGTAAGGCAGTCCGTCTTGGTAAGGCAGTCCGTCTTGGTAAGGCAGTCCGTCTTGGTAAGGCAGTCCGTCTTGGTAAGGCAGTCCGTCTTGGTAAGGCAGTCCGTCTTGGTAAGGCAGTCCGTCTTGGTAAGGCAGTCCGTCTTGGTAAGGCAGTCCGTCTTGGTAAGGCAGTCCGTCTTGGTAAGGCAGTCCGTCTTGGTAAGGCAGTCCGTCTTGGTAAGGCAGTCCGTCTTGGTAAGGCAGTCCGTCTTGGTAAGGCAGTCCGTCTTGGTAAGGCAGTCCGTCTTGGTAAGGCAGTCCGTCTTGGTAAGGCAGTCCGTCTTGGTAAGGCAGTCCGTCTTGGTAAGGCAGTCCGTCTTGGTAAGGCAGTCCGTCTTGGTAAGGCAGTCCGTCTTGGTAAGGCAGTCCGTCTTGGAAGGCAGTCCGTCTTGGAAAGGCAGTCCGTCTTGGAAAGGCAGTCCGTCTTGGAAAGGCAGTCCGTCTTGGAAAGGCAGTCCGTCTTGGAAAGGCAGTCCGTCTTGGTAAGGCAGTCCGTCTTGGTAAGGCAGTCCGTCTTGGTAAGGCAGTCCGTCTTGGTAAGGCAGTCCGTCTTGGTAAGGCAGTCCGTCTTGGTAAGGCAGTCCGTCTTGGTAAGGCAGTCCGTCTTGGTAAGGCAGTCCGTCTTGGTAAGGCAGTCCGTCTTGGTAAGGCAGTCCGTCTTGGTAAGGCAGTCCGTCTTGGTAAGGCAGTCCGTCTTGGTAAGGCAGTCCGTCTTGGTAAGGCAGTCCGTCTTGGTAAGGCAGTCCGTCTTGGAAAGGCAGTCCGTCTTGGTAAGGCAGTCCGTCTTGGTAAGGCAGTCCGTCTTGGTAAGGCAGTCCGTCTTGGTAAGGCAGTCCGTCTTGGTAAGGCAGTCCGTCTTGATAAGGCAGTCCGTCTTGGTAAGGCAGTCCGTCTTGGTAAGGCAGTCCGTCTTGGTAAGGCAGTCCGTCTTGGTAAGGCAGTCCGTCTTGGTAAGGCAGTCCGTCTTGGTAAGGCAGTCCGTCTTGGTAAGGCAGTCCGTCTTGGTAAGGCAGTCCGTCTTGGTAAGGCAGTCCGTCTTGGTAAGGCAGTCCGTCTTGGTAAGGCAGTCCGTCTTGGTAAGGCAGTCCGTCTTGGTAAGGCAGTCCGTCTTGGTAAGGCAGTCCGTCTTGGTAAGGCAGTCCGTCTTGGTAAGGCAGTCCGTCTTGGTAAGGCAGTCCGTCTTGGTAAGGCAGTCCGTCTTGGTAAGGCAGTCCGTCTTGGTAAGGCAGTCCGTCTTGGTAAGGCAGTCCGTCTTGGTAAGGCAGTCCGTCTTGGTAAGGCAGTCCGTCTTGGTAAGGCAGTCCGTCTTGGTAAGGCAGTCCGTCTTGGTAAGGCAGTCCGTCTTGGTAAGGCAGTCCGTCTTGGTAAGGCAGTCCGTCTTGGTAAGGCAGTCCGTCTTGGTAAGGCAGTCCGTCTTGGTAAGGCAGTCCGTCTTGGTAAGGCAGTCCGTCTTGGTAAGGCAGTCCGTCTTGGTAAGGCAGTCCGTCTTGGAAAGGCAGTCCGTCTTGGTAAGGCAGTCCGTCTTGGTAAGGCAGTCCGTCTTGGTAAGGCAGTCCGTCTTGGTAAGGCAGTCCGTCTTGGTAAGGCAGTCCGTCTTGGTAAGGCAGTCCGTCTTGGTAAGGCAGTCCGTCTTGGTAAGGCAGTCCGTCTTGGTAAGGCAGTCCGTCTTGGTAAGGCAGTCCGTCTTGGTAAGGCAGTCCGTCTTGGTAAGGCAGTCCGTCTTGGTAAGGCAGTCCGTCTTGGTAAGGCAGTCCGTCTTGGTAAGGCAGTCCGTCTTGGTAAGGCAGTCCGTCTTGGTAAGGCAGTCCGTCTTGGTAAGGCAGTCCGTCTTGGAAGGCAGTCCGTCTTGGTAAGGCAGTCCGTCTTGGTAAGGCAGTCCGTCTTGGTAAGGCAGTCCGTCTTGGTAAGGCAGTCCGTCTTGGTAAGGCAGTCCGTCTTGGTAAGGCAGTCCGTCTTGGTAAGGCAGTCCGTCTTGGTAAGGCAGTCCGTCTTGGTAAGGCAGTCCGTCTTGGTAAGGCAGTCCGTCTTGGTAAGGCAGTCCGTCTTGGTAAGGCAGTCCGTCTTGGTAAGGCAGTCCGTCTTGGAAAGGCAGTCCGTCTTGGAAAGCAGTCCGTCTTGGTAAGGCAGTCCGTCTTGGTAAGGCAGTCCGTCTTGGAAAGGCAGTCCGTCTTGGAGGCAGTCCGTCTTGGTAAGGCAGTCCGTCTTGGTAAGGCAGTCCGTCTTGGAGGCAGTCCGTCTTGGTAAGGCAGTCCGTCTTGGTAAGGCAGTCCGTCTTGGTAAGGCAGTCCGTCTTGGTAAGGCAGTCCGTCTTGGTAAGGCAGTCCGTCTTGGTAAGGCAGTCCGTCTTGGTAAGGCAGTCCGTCTTGGTAAGGCAGTCCGTCTTGGTAAGGCAGTCCGTCTTGGAAGGCAGTCCGTCTTGGTAAGGCAGTCCGTCTTGGTAAGGCAGTCCGTCTTGGTAAGGCAGTCCGTCTTGGTAAGGCAGTCCGTCTTGGTAAGGCAGTCCGTCTTGGTAAGGCAGTCCGTCTTGGTAAGGCAGTCCGTCTTGGTAAGGCAGTCCGTCTTGGTAAGGCAGTCCGTCTTGGTAAGGCAGTCCGTCTTGGTAAGGCAGTCCGTCTTGGTAAGGCAGTCCGTCTTGGTAAGGCAGTCCGTCTTGGTAAGGCAGTCCGTCTTGGTAAGGCAGTCCGTCTTGGTAAGGCAGTCCGTCTTGGTAAGGCAGTCCGTCTTGGTAAGGCAGTCCGTCTTGGTAAGGCAGTCCGTCTTGGTAAGGCAGTCCGTCTTGGTAAGGCAGTCCGTCTTGGTAAGGCAGTCCGTCTTGGTAAGGCAGTCCGTCTTGGTAAGGCAGTCCGTCTTGGTAAGGCAGTCCGTCTTGGTAAGGCAGTCCGTCTTGGTAAGGCAGTCCGTCTTGGAAAGGCAGTCCGTCTTGGTAAGGCAGTCCGTCTTGGTAAGGCAGTCCGTCTTGGTAAGGCAGTCCGTCTTGGTAAGGCAGTCCGTCTTGGTAGGCAGTCCGTCTTGGTAAGGCAGTCCGTCTTGGTAAGGCAGTCCGTCTTGGTAAGGCAGTCCGTCTTGGTAAGGCAGTCCGTCTTGGTAAGGCAGTCCGTCTTGGTAAGGCAGTCCGTCTTGGTAAGGCAGTCCGTCTTGGTAAGGCAGTCCGTCTTGGTAAGGCAGTCCGTCTTGGTAAGGCAGTCCGTCTTGGTAAGGCAGTCCGTCTTGGTAAGGCAGTCCGTCTTGGTAAGGCAGTCCGTCTTGGTAAGGCAGTCCGTCTTGGTAAGGCAGTCCGTCTTGGTAAGGCAGTCCGTCTTGGTAAGGCAGTCCGTCTTGGTAAGGCAGTCCGTCTTGGTAAGGCAGTCCGTCTTGGTAAGGCAGTCCGTCTTGGTAAGGCAGTCCGTCTTGGAAAGGCAGTCCGTCTTGGTAAGGCAGTCCGTCTTGGTAAGGCAGTCCGTCTTGGTAAGGCAGTCCGTCTTGGTAAGGCAGTCCGTCTTGGTAAGGCAGTCCGTCTTGGTAAGGCAGTCCGTCTTGGTAAGGCAGTCCGTCTTGGTAAGGCAGTCCGTCTTGGTAAGGCAGTCCGTCTTGGTAAGGCAGTCCGTCTTGGTAAGGCAGTCCGTCTTGGTAAGGCAGTCCGTCTTGGTAAGGCAGTCCGTCTTGGTAAGGCAGTCCGTCTTGGAAGGCAGTCCGTCTTGGAAAGGCAGTCCGTCTTGGTAAGGCAGTCCGTCTTGGAAAGGCAGTCCGTCTTGGAAGGCAGTCCGTCTTGGTAAGGCAGTCCGTCTTGGAAAGGCAGTCCGTCTTGGTAAGGCAGTCCGTCTTGGAAGGCAGTCCGTCTTGGAAAGGCAGTCCGTCTTGGAAAGGCAGTCCGTCTTGGTAAGGCAGTCCGTCTTGGTAAGGCAGTCCGTCTTGGTAAGGCAGTCCGTCTTGGTAGGGCAGTCCGTCTTGGTAAGGCAGTCCGTCTTGGTAAGGCAGTCCGTCTTGGTAAGGCAGTCCGTCTTGGTAAGGCAGTCCGTCTTGGTAAGGCAGTCCGTCTTGGTAAGGCAGTCCGTCTTGGTAAGGCAGTCCGTCTTGGAAAGGCAGTCCGTCTTGGTAAGGCAGTCCGTCTTGGTAAGGCAGTCCGTCTTGGTAAGGCAGTCCGTCTTGGTAAGGCAGTCCGTCTTGGTAAGGCAGTCCGTCTTGGTAAGGCAGTCCGTCTTGGTAAGGCAGTCCGTCTTGGAAAGGCAGTCCGTCTTGGTAAGGCAGTCCGTCTTGGTAAGGCAGTCCGTCTTGGTAAGGCAGTCCGTCTTGGTAAGGCAGTCCGTCTTGGTAAGGCAGTCCGTCTTGGTAAGGCAGTCCGTCTTGGAAAGGCAGTCCGTCTTGGTAAGGCAGTCCGTCTTGGTAAGGCAGTCCGTCTTGGTAAGGCAGTCCGTCTTGGTAAGGCAGTCCGTCTTGGTAAGGCAGTCCGTCTTGGTAAGGCAGTCCGTCTTGGTAAGGCAGTCCGTCTTGGAAAGGCAGTCCGTCTTGGTAAGGCAGTCCGTCTTGGTAAGGCAGTCCGTCTTGGTAAGGCAGTCCGTCTTGGTAAGGCAGTCCGTCTTGGTAAGGCAGTCCGTCTTGGTAAGGCAGTCCGTCTTGGTAAGGCAGTCCGTCTTGGTAAGGCAGTCCGTCTTGGTAAGGCAGTCCGTCTTGATAAGGCAGTCCGTCTTGGTAAGGCAGTCCGTCTTGGTAAGGCAGTCCGTCTTGGTAAGGCAGTCCGTCTTGGTAAGGCAGTCCGTCTTGGTAAGGCAGTCCGTCTTGGTAAGGCAGTCCGTCTTGGTAAGGCAGTCCGTCTTGGTAAGGCAGTCCGTCTTGGTAAGGCAGTCCGTCTTGGTAAGGCAGTCCGTCTTGGTAAGGCAGTCCGTCTTGGTAAGGCAGTCCGTCTTGGTAAGGCAGTCCGTCTTGGTAAGGCAGTCCGTCTTGGTAAGGCAGTCCGTCTTGGTAAGGCAGTCCGTCTTGGTAAGGCAGTCCGTCTTGGTAAGGCAGTCCGTCTTGGTAAGGCAGTCCGTCTTGGTAAGGCAGTCCGTCTTGGTAAGGCAGTCCGTCTTGGTAAGGCAGTCCGTCTTGGTAAGGCAGTCCGTCTTGGTAAGGCAGTCCGTCTTGGTAAGGCAGTCCGTCTTGGTAAGGCAGTCCGTCTTGGTAAGGCAGTCCGTCTTGGTAAGGCAGTCCGTCTTGGAAGGCAGTCCGTCTTGGTAAGGCAGTCCGTCTTGGTAAGGCAGTCCGTCTTGGTAAGGCAGTCCGTCTTGGTAAGGCAGTCCGTCTTGGAAAAGCAGTCCGTCTTGGAAAGGCAGTCCGTCTTGGAAAGGCAGTCCGTCTTGGAAAGGCAGTCCGTCTTGGTAAGGCAGTCCGTCTTGGAGGCAGTCCGTCTTGGTAAGGCAGTCCGTCTTGGTAAGGCAGTCCGTCTTGGAGGCAGTCCGTCTTGGTAAGGCAGTCCGTCTTGGTAAGGCAGTCCGTCTTGGTAAGGCAGTCCGTCTTGGTAAGGCAGTCCGTCTTGGTAAGGCAGTCCGTCTTGGTAAGGCAGTCCGTCTTGGTAAGGCAGTCCGTCTTGGTAAGGCAGTCCGTCTTGGTAAGGCAGTCCGTCTTGGTAAGGCAGTCCGTCTTGGTAAGGCAGTCCGTCTTGGTAAGGCAGTCCGTCTTGGTAAGGCAGTCCGTCTTGGTAAGGCAGTCCGTCTTGGTAAGGCAGTCCGTCTTGGTAAGGCAGTCCGTCTTGGTAAGGCAGTCCGTCTTGGTAAGGCAGTCCGTCTTGGTAAGGCAGTCCGTCTTGGTAAGGCAGTCCGTCTTGGTAAGGCAGTCCGTCTTGGTAAGGCAGTCCGTCTTGGTAAGGCAGTCCGTCTTGGTAAGGCAGTCCGTCTTGGTAAGGCAGTCCGTCTTGGTAAGGCAGTCCGTCTTGGTAAGGCAGTCCGTCTTGGTAAGGCAGTCCGTCTTGGTAAGGCAGTCCGTCTTGGTAAGGCAGTCCGTCTTGGTAAGGCAGTCCGTCTTGGTAAGGCAGTCCGTCTTGGTAAGGCAGTCCGTCTTGGTAAGGCAGTCCGTCTTGGTAAGGCAGTCCGTCTTGGTAAGGCAGTCCGTCTTGGTAAGGCAGTCCGTCTTGGTAAGGCAGTCCGTCTTGGTAAGGCAGTCCGTCTTGGTAAGGCAGTCCGTCTTGGTAAGGCAGTCCGTCTTGGAAAGGCAGTCCGTCTTGGAAAGGCAGTCCGTCTTGGTAAGGCAGTCCGTCTTGGTAAGGCAGTCCGTCTTGGTAAGGCAGTCCGTCTTGGTAAGGCAGTCCGTCTTGGTAAGGCAGTCCGTCTTGGTAAGGCAGTCCGTCTTGGTAAGGCAGTCCGTCTTGGTAAGGCAGTCCGTCTTGGTAAGGCAGTCCGTCTTGGTAAGGCAGTCCGTCTTGGTAAGGCAGTCCGTCTTGGTAAGGCAGTCCGTCTTGGTAAGGCAGTCCGTCTTGGTAAGGCAGTCCGTCTTGGTAAGGCAGTCCGTCTTGGTAAGGCAGTCCGTCTTGGTAAGGCAGTCCGTCTTGGTAGGGCAGTCCGTCTTGGTAAGGCAGTCCGTCTTGGTAAGGCAGTCCGTCTTGGTAAGGCAGTCCGTCTTGGTAAGGCAGTCCGTCTTGGTAAGGCAGTCCGTCTTGGTAAGGCAGTCCGTCTTGGTAAGGCAGTCCGTCTTGGTAAGGCAGTCCGTCTTGGTAAGGCAGTCCGTCTTGGTAAGGCAGTCCGTCTTGGTAAGGCAGTCCGTCTTGGTAAGGCAGTCCGTCTTGGTAAGGCAGTCCGTCTTGGTAAGGCAGTCCGTCTTGGTAAGGCAGTCCGTCTTGGAAAGGCAGTCCGTCTTGGTAAGGCAGTCCGTCTTGGTAAGGCAGTCCGTCTTGGTAAGGCAGTCCGTCTTGGTAAGGCAGTCCGTCTTGGTAAGGCAGTCCGTCTTGGAAAGGCAGTCCGTCTTGGTAAGGCAGTCCGTCTTGGTAAGGCAGTCCGTCTTGGTAAGGCAGTCCGTCTTGGAAAGGCAGTCCGTCTTGGAAAGGCAGTCCGTCTTGGTAAGGCAGTCCGTCTTGGAAAGGCAGTCCGTCTTGGTAAGGCAGTCCGTCTTGGTAAGGCAGTCCGTCTTGGAAAGGCAGTCCGTCTTGGAAAGGCAGTCCGTCTTGGTAAGGCAGTCCGTCTTGGTAAGGCAGTCCGTCTTGGTAAGGCAGTCCGTCTTGGTAAGGCAGTCCGTCTTGGTAAGGCAGTCCGTCTTGGTAAGGCAGTCCGTCTTGGTAAGGCAGTCCGTCTTGGTAAGGCAGTCCGTCTTGGTAAGGCAGTCCGTCTTGGTAAGGCAGTCCGTCTTGGTAAGGCAGTCCGTCTTGGTAAGGCAGTCCGTCTTGGTAAGGCAGTCCGTCTTGGTAAGGCAGTCCGTCTTGGTAAGGCAGTCCGTCTTGGTAAGGCAGTCCGTCTTGGTAAGGCAGTCCGTCTTGGTAAGGCAGTCCGTCTTGGTAAGGCAGTCCGTCTTGGAAAGGCAGTCCGTCTTGGTAAGGCAGTCCGTCTTGGTAAGGCAGTCCGTCTTGGTAAGGCAGTCCGTCTGGAAAGGCAGTCCGTCTTGGAAAGGCAGTCCGTCTTGGTAAGGCAGTCCGTCTTGGAAGGCAGTCCGTCTTGGTAAGGCAGTCCGTCTTGGTAAGGCAGTCCGTCTTGGTAAGGCAGTCCGTCTTGGAAAGGCAGTCCGTCTTGGTAAGGCAGTCCGTCTTGGTAAGGCAGTCCGTCTTGGTAAGGCAGTCCGTCTTGGTAAGGCAGTCCGTCTTGGTAAGGCAGTCCGTCTTGGTAAGGCAGTCCGTCTTGGTAAGGCAGTCCGTCTTGGTAAGGCAGTCCGTCTTGGTAAGGCAGTCCGTCTTGGTAAGGCAGTCCGTCTTGGTAAGGCAGTCCGTCTTGGTAAGGCAGTCCGTCTTGGTAAGGCAGTCCGTCTTGGTAAGGCAGTCCGTCTTGGTAAGGCAGTCCGTCTTGGTAAGGCAGTCCGTCTTGGTAAGGCAGTCCGTCTTGGTAAGGCAGTCCGTCTTGGTAAGGCAGTCCGTCTTGGAAGGCAGTCCGTCTTGGTAAGGCAGTCCGTCTTGGAAAGCAGTCCGTCTTGGAAAGGCAGTCCGTCTTGGAAAAGCAGTCCGTCTTGGTAAGGCAGTCCGTCTTGGTAAGGCAGTCCGTCTTGGTAAGGCAGTCCGTCTTGGTAAGGCAGTCCGTCTTGGGGCAGTCCGTCTTGGTAAGGCAGTCCGTCTTGGTAAGGCAGTCCGTCTTGGTAAGGCAGTCCGTCTTGGTAAGGCAGTCCGTCTTGGTAAGGCAGTCCGTCTTGGTAAGGCAGTCCGTCTTGGTAAGGCAGTCGTCTTGGTAAGGCAGTCCGTCTTGGTAAGGCAGTCCGTCTTGGTAAGGCAGTCCGTCTTGGTAAGGCAGTCCGTCTTGGTAAGGCAGTCCGTCTTGGTAAGGCAGTCCGTCTTGGTAAGGCAGTCCGTCTTGGTAAGGCAGTCCGTCTTGGTAAGGCAGTCCGTCTTGGTAAGGCAGTCCGTCTTGGTAAGGCAGTCCGTCTTGGTAAGGCAGTCCGTCTTGGAAAGGCAGGTCCGTCTTGGTAAGGCAGTCCGTCTTGGTAAGGCAGTCCGTCTTGGAGGCAGTCCGTCTTGGTAAGGCAGTCCGTCTTGGTAAGGCAGTCCGTCTTGGTAAGGCAGTCCGTCTTGGAAGGCAGTCCGTCTTGGAAAGGCAGTCCGTCTTGGAAGGCAGTCCGTCTTGGTAAGGCAGTCCGTCTTGGAAAGGCAGTCCGTCTTGAAAGGCAGTCCGTCTTGGAAAAGCAGTCCGTCTTGGTAAGGCAGTCCGTCTTGGAAAAGCAGTCCGTCTTGGAAAAGCAGTCCGTCTTGGAAAGGCAGTCCGTCTTGGAAAGCAGTCCGTCTTGGAGGCAGTCCGTCTTGGTAAGGCAGTCCGTCTTGGTAAGGCAGTTCGTCTTGGGGGCAGTCCGTCTTGGTAAGGCAGTCCGTCTTGGTAAGGCAGTCCGTCTTGGTAAGGCAGTCCGTCTTGGTAAGGCAGTCCGTCTTGGTAAGGCAGTCCGTCTTGGTAAGGCAGTCCGTCTGGTAAGGCAGTCCGTCTTGGAGGCAGTCCGTCTTGGAAAGGCAGTCCGTCTGGTAAGGCAGTCCGTCTTGGTAAGGCAGTCCGTCTTAGAGGCAGTCCGTCTTGGTAAGGCAGTCCGTCTTGGTAAGGCAGTCCGTCTTGGTAAGGCAGTCCGTCTTGGTAAGGAAGTCCGTCTTGTAAGGCAGTCCCCGTCTTGGTAAGGCAGTCCGTCTTGGTAAGGCAGTCCGTCTTGATAAGGCAGTCCCTCTTGGTAAGGCAGTCCGTCTTGGTAAGGCAGTCCGTCTTGCTAAGGCAGTCCGTCTTGGTAAGGCAGTCCGTCTTGGTAAGGCAGTCCGTCTTGGTAAGGCAGTCCGTCTTGGTAAGGCAGTCCGTCTTGGTAAGGCAGTCCGTCTTGGTAAAGGCAGTCCGTCTTGGAAGGCAGTCCGTCTTGGAAAGGCAGTCCGTCTTGGAAAGGCAGTCCGTCTTGGAAAGGCAGTCCGTCTTGGAAAAGCACAGTCCAGTCCGTCTTGGTAAGCAGTCCGTCTTGGTAAGGCAGTCGCTCTTGGAAAAGCAGTCCGTCTTGGTAGGCAGTCCGTCTTGGTAAGGCAGTCCGTCTTGGTAGGCAGTCCGTCTTGGGGCAGTCCGTCTTGGTAAGGCAGTCCGTCTTGGAAAGGCAGTCCGTCTTGGTAAGGCAGTCCGTCTTGGTAAGGCAGTCCGTCTTGGAAAGGCAGTCCGTCTTGGTAAGCAGTCCGTCTTGGTAAGGCAGTCCGTCTTGGAACAGTCCGTCTTGGTAAGGCAGTCCGTCTTGGTAAGGCATTCCGTCTTGGTAAGGCAGTCCGTCTTGGTAAGGCAGTCCGTCTTGGAAAGGCAGTCCGTCTTGGTAAGGCAGTCCGTCTTGGTAAAGGCAGTCCGTCTTGTAAGGCAGTCCGTCTTGGAAAGGCAGTCCGTCTTGGAAGGCAGTCCGTCTTGGTAAGGCAGTCCGTCTGGAAAGGCAGTCCGTCTTGGTAAGGCAGTCCGTCTTGAAAGGCAGTCCGTCTTGAAAGCCAGTCCGTCTTGAAAGGCAGCCGTCTTGGTAAGGCAGTCCGTCTTGGTAAGGCAGTCCGTCTTGGTAAGGCATTCCGTCTTGGTAGGGAAGTCCGTCTTGGTAAGGCAGTCCGTCTTGGTAAGGCAGTCCGTCTTGGTAAGGCAGTTCCGTCTTGGTAAGGCAGTCCGTCTTGGTAAGGCAGTCCGTCTTGGTAAGGCAGTCCGTCTTGGTAAGGCATTCCGTCTTGGTAAGGCAGTCCGTCTTGGTAAGGCAGTCCGTCTTGAAAGGCAGTCCGTCTTGGT